CGGTCGGTAACGCCGGCCGTTAACGTGAAAGCAAATGTTGTGTTCTTGAACAGCGGCGACTGCATAATCGTCATTATATTTCACTATACTCCTAGCTACTTCGTTGTTTTTCTGCGAACGAGCGATGTGTTGCATCTGGAAAGGAGTATGAGAGCCATCCACATTGCTGCTAAGTGTATTTGCTTATGCTTGACGTGCGCGACTTTTGTATTGGCTGCTGATGAACCGGATCCAGACAAGAACGATGTGGGTGAGTTATGTAACGCTTTATGCTGGTTCGTGTAATAATAGTGTGGAACGTAACATTTGACTTTAATTGGTCGGTATTATTGGGTTAATGTGCACACGTCAATTGATGAACGAAACGGTGTATTTCTTTTTCCAATAGGTATAAAACAAATTAGATTCTCCCCATTGTTTTTGTCTATAAAATATCTAAAAGTATTTTTAGAAGCGTACACAATTCTCTTTGTTATCTTAAGCATCCTATACTTTACACGTTAATAAATTGTAGGTGCTATTAATTTATTAACAAAGTATTTTTTGAATCTTTGCGGATTTAAAAAATACGTGCTAAAATCTAACACCTAGTAAAAATTTGTGATTCAATTAGGATTTCATTTTTAAGCAGGGATGTATAATACAGCAGGTACATGGTTCTAATTCCTCAACCACAAGAATCGTGGTACGTACATTCTTTGCTACGCTTAACCCCTTCTATTATCTCCTTTTTGAGAAACTTCGAGGTCGGAAAGGCCACTTCTCCGTGTGTGGGCAAGAAACTTTAGGTATAGTTTACAGAAGGTTGTAGGGAGTAAAAATACCTTCTAAATAAAACGTTATATGTTCAACTTCCTGCAGTCATCAAGTCATTAGAGAGATCAGCAGAACAAACCATTAAGCTCAAAAATGTGGTGTAAATGACAACAAGCTGCAAATGTTGAGCAGTTTTGGTAAAACCCTTTTGGATGTTTATCCACCACTAAGTCTTCAAATTTGATTGTGATTTCATTGACTTTTATACTTGTTCCTCCTTTTCACATTTTTACACTTTTTGAAATACCTAGGCATTTCCTTGTGATAACAGCTTGACTGCTAGAGAGTTGAACATTATCGTGTTTTCATTCTAATATCTTTTTCTGATTCACTTTTCTTTCATATTTGCAACGAAAACATTTTCTATGGCACAATTCTCTAAATAATAATAATAATATTTATTACCCTCATTAAACAGTATATAAAAATTTACAAACAAAAAGCTTTAAGAGAATAAAGGGCTACATCAGCTTGCCCCTTAAAGAAGCAGCTGCTAGAGCACAAAAAAAACCAACAAATTTAAACAATCCTATGATAATGCAAATGGCTATTAAGACTTAAATTAATAATGTTTTGATATTAAGATTTATAGTGAAGTATAGTAGGTAGAGGAATGGAAATTTAGAGGGAGAAGAGAAAGCGAGGGGAAAGAGAAGAAGAGAAACGGGGGAGCAGGAGATATGTTTTCTATGATATCTGTGACAGTAAATCACTTTGAAGGTTCCTCTTAAATGTAGCTACCGAGAGAGAAAAATCTTTCATTTTGAATTTGTTTACCAAAAAGACAATTTGATATGAGAATGATTTCTTAAATGATTCTTTATTGTGGGATGGTATTGTAATCAAATTCAATCTTCTAATGTTTAGACTATGTACATCAGTCCGGTAAGTAATTTTTAAGTGAAGATAAGTTGCACTTTTATATTTTATAATCTTGTAAAAAGAGGAAGTGTAGAGTGCAAGGTACGCCTTTGAGCCATATTCAACCATCCCAGTTCAGGTAGTTTGTGGGATACTCTTTGTCTACTCTTTATGCCACACTATCAAGAAATGGGCCATATACCATATCAGCAAAGTTGAAGTGGGATAACACTAAAGCTTCGCAGAGCGTGACTTTAGTATTTTGCGATAGGCAATGTCTATGGGGGTAAATTATTTTTAACATTGAGTATGCTTTTCTTAGGCACAGAGTAATGTGCTCTTTAAACTTAAGTTAAGAGTCAACCTCTAAGGTCAAATCCTTCTCTAAATGATATTATATTGTCCAATAGTTTGAGGTTAATATTATTTTCTCATACGTTTCTGTAGGAATCACTACAAAACAATATAGCCGTCAGTTTACTAGGGTTTATCTTTAACAAGTGATCTTCAGAGGTTTTGAGAAGGCTATTCAAGTCGGTATTCAGTCGGTTTGTTATGACAGATCAGGTTTGAAAGAGGTATAAATTTGAGTGTCGTCAACATACAGATGATATTGATAATAACTTAAGCGGCTTCATGAAATTAAAAGTATATAGGCTATACAATAATGGACCCAAAATACTGCCTTGGGGAACCCCTGATTTGATTGTAACTGTATCTGATATGTTCCCGTCCAAAGTCACACGCTGCATCCTTTCAGATGAAAAAGAATTTATTAATGCATAGGCCGGCTGCTCTAATCCAGTATATTTCAGAATAGCCACTAGTATCTCATGATTAATCATGTCAAATGCTTTCGTGTAGTCCAACAACACCAAGACAGTAGCATTTCCCGTATGCTGTTCTCTGATGACATCATCCACAAGATCTGTTAATGCTGTGGAACAACTGTACCCTGACTGTCTAGGGGGATGAGATTGTTGGTAAAAACGTAGTTTGAAACGTGTATAGCGATTGCCTTTTCCAAAAGTTTAGAGAGGGTCGGTAAAAGCGAGATTGAACGTAGTTGACCAAATTCTGTCGGCTTGTTAACCTCAGCCAATGGAAGAACATCGGCCAGCTTCCAGCTTTTAGGAAAATAATACCTTTTAATACAACTATTTATAATACCAGTAATATAAGAAGCTTTAAAGGGCAACACAAGGAAATCAGGGTAACGTTCAGGCTATCAGCGCCAAAAGCCTTCGGCTTGATACTGAGGATACTATTTAAAACAAAATCTTCGTTGGTTAGGTTAAATAAGAAGGTTTCATTAAGCAAGAAGTTGTTGTTATAGAAATGCAACAATTCTTGTTTTGGAGTATTATTTTGTGATATTTGGGCAAAGTAGGTAATAAGTTCATTAACATTCCTTAAATGGTCAGGGAAGTATTAATTTTTATTTCTAAGTATATTTAGTCTTTTTAGTTCAGCCCATTTTTCCTTTTCTGAGCAATTCTGAAACTTTAAATTTAGATATGCCCTTTTTTTCGGCTCTAATAGCAGAAGTAGTCAGGTTTCTTAATTGTTTATAATAGTCTCGATGACCAGGTTGGTGCGTTCGTCTAAAACGAGAAAGAGCTTCATTTTGAAGCCTTTTCATAAACTTAATGTTCACTGTGACCGATGAACTGTATGGTATTTTTCGACCATTGCAGTCTTTTAGGGGTGCATGGGAATCGAAGACATTCAATATAGTGTCTGTTAAAAATGATACCTTATGATTGATGTCATCTATTTGATATGTGTTGTCCCAAGGCGCCGACTCAATGTCAGTCTGAAACAGAGCTAGATTTATTCGACGTAAAGCCCTAAATTTGTAACAAAGATTAAGCGGCTCGATGGCTGTTATACACAAATCTACATAAACAAGAAGGTGGTCTGAAACATTGGGATCCCGAACGCCCACATCCTTCACTATCTCGGGATTACAGCACATTAAATCGATCAAAGTAGAATTAGTGTTTGATATTCGTGTTGCCTCAGACACCACTTGACTTAAGGAAAAGGTATTTAAAATATCATTTAATAGGGTGACATTTGAAGAATCGATATCCAATACATTTATGTTGAAATCGCCCAAACATACAATTTGGTTACACTCAGTACTGAAGTCAATCAAAATGTAATCAAAATAATTTAGAAATTTCCTACTGTTAGAGCTAAGTTGTCTGTAAATAATGCCATCTATGAGTATTTCTTTTTCAAGCTGAATTTTAACCCAAATATGCTCAATTATGTCCTAGCACTCACTCTTCAATAAATTAAATTTTACACCACCGCCGCGGGTCACGCGGTCTTGCCTGATAAATTTGTAACCATTTAAGGAAGTAATATCACTGTCAATATTAGAAGTTAACCAGCTCTCTGTGATGCCAACCCCATGTTTATTTCTTGCGCGGTTTCTATCCTGACAAAACAGCACACTGGAGGACAAAATATCGGTGGAATATGGAACAAATTTTAACGATTCGTGAATGAGCACAAAAAATCACTGCGGAAAAACACCACTCAGGAGGGGACACTTCAATATTAACTGGACATTTTTGGAAAAACTTAGCTGCAGATCGCAAACGTGTGTTCACTCACAGGTCGCCATCTGTTATATGAAGTGAAGATGAAGTGTTCCTTTATTTTTTGACCGTCAAAAATATAATTTCGTTGGAAACACCAAATATACAATTTTGTTCTGAAATTCTAGGTAACCTAGTTAAAAATCACGTGTCAATATTTCTTTCCCAGGTGATTTTCGTTCGAACAGTGACATTCATGTAATACTAAAATTGATACTAACTACGAACATACATTACGTTTTACATCCTCACATTACTAAACATTTTCAAGCAAACCTAATTTTGAAAAATATTTCAATAGCCCAACCGGTTTCTGGAGAACTATTTTTAGGTATGAAGTGAAAAAATAGTTATAGGGCAATTACAATATATGTACTATAATTGTACACAAACCAAAAGGAAAACTCCATAATCAAACCAGGACTAAGTTTCCTTAACTGCAGGCAACGTCTATTGGCGCAGATAAGGTTCAAACTGAAATAAGTAGCAAATCAGGCGCGAATAGGGTCTAGCATGAAATAAGCGTCTCAAGTTTACACACTCAGTTATAAAATTAGGGTTTGACATAAATACTAAAAGGTAAACATATTTTTTTAAAAATACACTTTTAAAGATGAGATTCTATTTAGTTGTTGAGACGAACTAAAAATTCCAAAATATTTTTTCCCGATTGGAAATATTTCCTTTTATATTTCTCATCTTTCCAAATAAAATCGTACTAGACATTATTACGATAAACCGTATCTCCGTGTTACAGAAGTTGTGTTGCTTTTGTTCTTTGTCCCAGAGACCAGAGACCAAACCTAGACCATGCTGATGAGTAGCCAAAAAGCACGAAACAGCTGTCCATCGTTGACTGTATTTTGGTCTACTATACAGCCAGGTTCGTCGGCCATCTAACGATCACATGGTGACTGGGCTATTAAACGCTAACTGAGACCTTTACACTTCCAACAAATAGCTGCTATGCACTCTTTGCAGTGGTGGATTTTGGTGATAGATGGCGCTTTGCACTGTTTTCTTTCAAAACTTGAGACGAAGGAGCTTCACTATTGTTTAAAGGGCACGTCGTATCAATCGGCATATTTTCAATTGTTTTTCAAAAGATATTTTTTATTTTATTTATTGCTGAAAACATTTGATATGAATCAGCTTGTCGTGTGTGTGGCCGTTTAAGTCTCTATCAACTGCATTATCTGTAGAGGGAAATCTACAAATAATGCTACTACCGAGAACGATTTTCCTGACTGACATCTTGCAGGACGGCTGACTTTTACACGACATGAAGGATTTTTCAAGCATCCAAATTAATTTCACAGTAGAAAAATCGTTGTGCAGGTTGATCTGTTGCTCATTATACTTGGCTTTTTCAGAACTATAACAAAAAAAAAACGAATATTTTTTTTTGTGAACCACTGCCACCTACACCATGAGAAAGAAAAAGCTCCAAGCTCCATAGAGGAACAACCTCAAATAAATTCTTATACCTTATTTGTAATCACCTGTCAAAAATTCGCTTACGGATAAATTTGCTCGTTCCTCAATTTAAAGATTTTCATTTCTTGTCACAAATTGAATCTTTACAACAATTTATAAAATTCAGACATTTCATGAAGATATGGTAAGGTCAAATATTGCAGGTCTACATTTTAACACATTGGTGGACTTTAAACCCGTAAATTGTAGAAACTTTTTCATTGCAACGGTAAGCAGCGACTTGATTGAGCTCATCTATGTTCCAATTAAACATGACGCAATACGTCGTCGGTGAGAAAACCGTACTAGTTGTTTGTGTTGCATCGGCATTCTTTCATTTCACAAGAATGAGAATCAATATATCTGCGTGAAAGGAAGGTCACCTCTTATAACACCCATATAAAACTTACATGAAAAGTGTTGTATCCAATGATACGTTCCATTTTTCGCAGACGATAATCTACAAGTGCAACCGGGGTAATTTGAATAAGCAGGTAGCGTCAAGGTAGTCAGTTAATTGCATTAGTTTACATGGAAAATCATTAATAAAAATGCATATAATAACCACAAAGCACACTGTTTATATGGTTGGTTAAATAAGCCATATAACAATTAAATATCAGTAGTGAGTCATCAAGAGGTAATCTATGAGGGCATCATTGTCCATCTTGGTCAGCAAACAATCATCGAGCAAAACGTTGAACAGTAAAGTTTTCATGTAGCCGCGTTTTGTTAATAGATAACGTTTAGATACATGTGGTTCATAATAAGTCATCAATAATATTCAAGTTCATATTTGAATCGTGTTGTAATACATTTTTGAATTATTTGAAGACGTACAATCCAAGTTATACTCCACTACTCTACCACGGAATTTCATTTTTTCATTTAACTAAAAATTCAACAATACATTATTTATATCTGTGAGGAAAAACTGCGATACAGGTATATTTCGAAGTACTTCGATACCTCCGCGCTTTGACCCACCAAGTCCATTCAAGCTCGATCAGCTACGCGCTGCCAGAATACATTTGCTTACCTCTGGCCACTTGCGATTGAACCTCTCCGCTACATCTTGTCTGAATGCACCCGTTCTGATAAAAGTTTACTGCAGGAAAACCTATTCATTTATGAACATTCGTGAACAGTTGCATCAAAGCTATATAACTTGGTTGCAAGGTAACATCGAATTGTCTCGCAAAGCTAATCTTTCACAACCGTCTCTTGAAAACATTTCCCGTTTCTCCCGATAGAGCGGTTGTGTAGCTGCTAGCCAGATCTGAGCGGGTGTATGTTGGCAGCGCGTAGCTGAGCGAGTTTGAGTGCAGTCGATGGCGCACACCCTCTGTTACGCGTATGTATCGACCTGACGGATTATAATCCAACATTTCTTGGTGCTCTTTGAATGACTGAATTCTATTGACGTTACTATATTTTTTAGGCAACAATGAGGTGGTCAGTCCATGGAAACTTATTATGAACGTTCTGACAGAGCGGCCAGAAGCAAAGGCTAAGTCAAACCTTGTGGAAGCAAAGGAAGAACTGGAAGGACAGACCAAGTTGGTCTGTCCGGAAAAAGAAAATCCTCCCTTTTTCTCATTGCCATGCTCCAAGACCAGAGACTGCGCTATCTTGAGGGATCCCGAGCTGATTTGCTGCAAGAATAGGTGCATTAAGGGGAAACACTCATTGATAACAGAAAAAGATAAGCATCCTCGTAAGTATTACAACAGTTTAATCACTCGTCAAACTCACTGTTTAAACACCCCACATGTGTTTTGTCAACTATGTTAGGATCTTTATGAGAAGAAAGAAATGATACGGACTATGTTTAGGAAATTTCAATTTCACACTGCTTGTTCCGGAAGTTGTTGTATCCAGTATACAACTTCTTGCCGTTCAAGTGATTGTACACGCGTTAGGGAATACCTCAATACCGACTGCCGGGTGGCGCTACAAGTCCGCCAATGGGCCACTTTAGGTCTATTTAATATCACTAACACTTAAAAAGGCGGTGGAAGACAAGGACCAGTCGACCGAGGAGGCACCACCCGCTAGCTTTTCCCAGGGTGTCTTATAAATGTCTGCATGTTTCCACACCTAAGTCGGTTATCTTCCAAACTAAGAAATTAATGCTGATGGATCCCTCGAGCACTGAGAATTTCTCGGAATGTCCGGGTGGAGGGCGGGCTCGAGGGAACAACATCGAAGATACAATTTCTTTTACAAACATTTGCGGGATTAACAACATTGGTGCTGTTCATCACTGCCTGCAATCCAATCGTCCCGCCATGCTTTTCTTGGCGGAGACAAAAATCGCAGAGTGTGCACCGATTAATCATCTTAACTTCCCAAACTATGAGGTGCACTCCAATCTGATAAAGAACGGGTGGGTTGTGGCTTTTGTCCGCAGCAGTCTTTTTTGCTCCAGAAATGTTTCTTTAGAATCAAACCTGAAGGACATTCCCTGCCTTTATCGCTCTCCCTTGGACCATAACTGGGATGACCTACTGGAATACCTCGCCGTCAAGATCGACTTCCTAAACATCAATCACCCCCCTTCAGATGTAGTTCTTCTCGGTGATTTCAATGCCCATAATGAGCTTTGGTTGGGCTCAAACAAGACCAATGCAGCAGGTCGTGCAGTCTAAGCGTTCACTCTTACTCAAGGGCTGACCCAGCTGGTGACGCGCCCTGCTTTTTCCCCCGCGTCTCGTCACACGCCAGTAGCCTGCTGGATCCCTTTCTGACCACGCATCCTGTCCCTTACAGCATTGCTGCCCTGTCTCCCTGGGATCATCATAGCAGCCGCGGTGTCACGGCATTTAGGCTTCTGCCTGCGCGGCTGCTTCGATATATAAAAAAATTATTTATGGTTTAGATTTACTTCTGTGTGGAATGATTTTTTGAAGTCGTAGTTGCTAAAATAAGAGCAGGATAAATTAGCGCCTTGTTCTCACATCGCATATTTTTAGGAGTTTTTAGTAGCATAATGGTTCATGCTAAGCTTTCATAAGTCCTCCTTTTTAGCTACATTTTTTGGCATCGTGCAACAAGAGTGCCCAAAGGAATTACTACCTGAGGTAAAAGAAGTGGAAAAATGTGAATCTGACCATCACTGTTCGCCCAGAATTTGCTGTCCTTACACACTGAAAAGCGGAGAAAATGTCAGTTACTGCCGCACTCCACAACCTGTATTGGACAGCATTCCACTAGTTGGCGAGTTAGCAGAAAGTAAGTAGGTATAATATTGTTTACGAAATCATTATTCAAGAAATTGAACTGCTTGGAAGCTAACACTCCAGATAATAATAATAATGATTTATTCACATTAATGTACAGCATGGTGAATAAATTTCAATACACAAAAGGATAGCTTTGTGCGTAAAAAAAATAAATACATAAATGCATTAAATAAAAATAAATGTTCGTTGCCAAAATAAATAACCATGATATTGCCTAATTCTAATAGGATTTTGACACTTGAATTTAATTTCTATGTCTATGTGTATACAGGGTGTTTCAGTTTATTGTTGCATAACTTTAAAATTCGATAGAACTTTTAAAATTAATGCATAAAGTCTATATAAACATGGGTCGAAAAATGCGCGGCTTCCGAAATACAGGGTGTTTAAAATAGTTTTTTTAAAATATTTTGAACAATATTTGATGTATAACAGTGAAAATTGGTATACAAGGGTTTTTTGGTACGACAAAACGAACCATGGGCATAGTTTTACTGTAGCCGCTAGAGGACGCTCTCTACTGTATTAAAATGACCGAAAATTTTTTCCTAGTGCAATTTTTTGCTTTTTGAATAAAAAAGCTGATTCTTGGCACTTTTCTGCATAAAAAAGCTCTCCTGTGACTTTTAGTTACAGTTAGCAGTTTTTGAGATATTGCGATTTTTAAGGTTCGATGCATTTTTAATTATTTATGGGAAAATAATATTTTTTTTTTATCTTTTTGATTTGGGCATTGCAAGTAATTAAGATGATCGTTTAGATTGTGTTTTCAAACACAACAATAATTCCTAACTCCAAATAAACACAAGAAAATAGAATATTAATTTGTTTAATTTTCCAATATTATTTTTAACAAATTAAATTAATTATTTACGACTAAAATGCTATTGGATAGTTAGGACAAACATACAAAATCTAAAGTAGTTGCTCGAAATGTAAACCCAATTGTTCAATACGCAATTCACATCTACGAATGATCGAACATGGTATAGCATTATTCAAATAAGGCCTTATTTCACCACATGCATTCCTGATTCTGTCTTTTAGCATATCTCTTGTGGTTACGGGAGTCTGGTACACTTTCTTTTAGAAATCCCCACACAAAGAAATCTAATGGATTTAGGTCAGGGGATCGTGGAGGCCAGCCGACTGGTCCTCCACGGCCGATCCATCTTTCTGGATAATTTTCGTCCAGCCAGTTTCTAACTATTCTCGAATAATGAGCTGGACCACCATCAAGCTGGAGCCAGGCCAATCTTCTTAAATCTAACATAACATCATCCCTCATATTTGCATGTTCAGCCTTTAAAAATTCCAAGAAGGTCGCAGCATTTGACCTTGCAGGCAAAAGGTAGGGTCCAAATAGTCGATTACGGTAGATACCAATCCACACGTTCACACTAAATTCATGCTGAAAATTTCTTCCCCGAACTGCATGCGGATTTTCATGCGACCAAATATGTTGATTCTGAAAATTTACCACTCCACGTCTAGTGAAGCATGACTCATCGGTCCATAAAACGTTACTTAAAAGCTCCCTATTATTATCAGTTCTATCAAGAATCCACTGACAAAATGTGATTCTTCGTTCTCCGTCCCCTGGCTGTAGTTCTTGCACAGGTTGCAAATGGTAAGGACGTCTATGGTCATTTCTAAGAACACGGTGAACATGGCTTGCTGAAATTCCCAAGGCACCAGAAACTCTCCTAACACTTGGGGTCGGATCTCTATCAAACTCACGCAGAATCATACGGGTAAATCTGCGCTGACGAACATTTATGTTTTGATCCCTTTGGAGATTTACAAAACCATTTTCAATTATTTGGCGATGCACTCTTACAAATACTGAGCGAGTAGGATGTCGTCTATTTGGAAATCTTCGTGCGTATTCTCTGGCTGCTTCTGCTGCGTTTCCATTTACAAAGCCATACACAGAATGAATATCCGCTAACTCTTGATTGGAGAATAAAAATAGCATTTTTATAAAACTTACAAAAAAAAAAACAGGTAAGAGAAACTAAATTTCGTGCATTCACAATTGCAAAAAAACGTTTCAGGTTTCAACAGACAACAAAACTAACTGTCAACTAATTGACGTTTAACCTTATTCTGCTTTTAATTTCAAAAATATTTGTAGGCACAGCCTACTTCTAAAAATTATCGAGATGCTGACTTTTTAACGTTATTTTATCATAAATAATTAAAAATGCATCGAACCTTAAAAATCGAAATATCTCAAAAACGGCTCACTATAACGAAAATTCACAAGAGAGCTTTTTTATGTTGAAAAGTGCGAAGAATCATTTTTTTTATTCAAAAAGCAAAAGATTGCACTAAGACAAAATTTTCGGTCATTTTATTACACTACAGGTACAGTAGAGAGCGCCCTCTAGCAGCTACAGTAAAACTATGCCCATGGTTCGTTTTGTCGTACCAAAAAACCCTTGTATACCAATTTTCACTGTTATACATCAAATATTGTTCGAAATATTTAAAAAAAAACTATGTTAGAAAGTAAATTTAAACACCCTGTATTTCGGAAGCCACGCATTTTTCGACCCATGTTTATAAAGACTTTATGCATTAATTTTAAAGGTTCTATCGAATCTTAAAGTTATGCAACAATAAAGTGAAACACCCTGTATATGACTGCAAGACGACATCGAAATTGATTTCAAGGGTCGAAATTTAATTAGAACTAGACACCTGAACTGCTTTCCAGTGCTTCTCGGATAGATATAAGCTTTCGGATGTTGAGCTTTTTTACTTAGGCTGTTGTAACCAGGGTAAGTTTTTAGTGTCGGCTCCTTACTTGAAAAAATACCTAATTTTATTCCACATCTGTATAGGCCCATTCAGACGAGGCGGTTTCATATAGCATACCGCAGAGTTTTATTTTAAAATTTTTGAGATATTGGATAACTTATTGAAAGAAGAAGAAACGCTTAACTTTGACAACTCGCAGATTTTCACCTATTATAGCTGCAGTAATAAGATTTTCCGCACAAAAAATTCAGATCCCATATTTTCTCCCTATCTACTCCAGTTTTAAGGTAAATGAAAAATATTGCATTGTGTTCCAAAATAAAAATAGCATTTAGCTGCTAACAGCAGATTGTTAGATCTTTTGTCTTTCTTTGTATTATGGATGAAATATACCCTACCTTATGCAATAATGTCGAAAGGTCAAGAAGGTGTCCAACCCAAAAACCAGACATACCCTTATAAGCCCATATAAAAAAAATTCCGGCAAGAGGAATCAAAGAATGTGAAAATATACAGGGCGTACCTATTTGAAAATTTCGAGAAATAATTGATGTTGCGTTCTTCATTATACTGTAAAAACCATCCAAAATAGTCAAAAGGATAAAATATGAAATCACAAAATTTATCCGGCGAAATATTACTCCGGCTATAGTAGATGTGGTGATGCAATTTGTCACAACTGTGTGTTTTTTCGATGGATTGTCCAATATCTTAACAATTTGAAAATCAAGCCTTATTTTATCAAATTACTTCTTTATTAGGTCACTACGTACTTACCGATCACCCCGTCCAGATAAATATATTTTATAAAATAGGAGTATACTTTTGGCTACAATTTTTTTATTTAAACTTTTTAGATACCATGTGTAATACCGGAGCTATCGAGCCCTCACTAAAAGATCACCCTATATATATACGTAAAATGGATTAATTTTCCATGTCCATGCTGGTGCATGAGGGGCCGTGATATTAAAAAGATGAGTAGTTGAAGTAGAGGAAAGTGACCAAATATGGAATACCATTTTTGTTTTTGACTGTATTCAGACCATAGTTCAATTAATTTTCGTTTTCTCAATACTGTTGGGTGTAACGGAGCATAATGAAAAGGTCATATCAATTTTTGGCCAAAATACGTCGTTTTCCCTGTTCAGAAACTGAAATATTGTTTAAGGTGCATTCTTGGCGACTTCAAAAATGTGTCCTTAATATGGAATACCTTGGAACCTAATATAAAATACACCAAATTCTCATTAAAAAAGACATAGAAATGCTATATTTTCAGAACTGAACATCAAATAGAACTCTGTTACATAACGATAAACATGAAATACAAAAAAAAACGGAACTGAATATTATCTACATAACAAACATTAAACAAACTTAAAACATTTCAGAAATTTTACACTGGAACAGAAGCGATATTACTTGCAAAAATCGCACACAAATTTGCTTCGGTATGCCCCAAAACACTGTTCGTGGAACCACTGAAGGCACAATATGCATTGTATCCAAATTTCGCCCCTTTGGTCTTCAGAAAATTTTCCATCACAATATCCGCATATGGCATCCTCGTCAGGATCTACTGTAGTTTCTTGAGTCAGTTCATCACCGGAGGAATCTTGATAATGCAGTGCTTCAGATTTTTCTGAAGAAGTAGAACTTGATGACCTTCTCTTATTCCTCGCCTTCTGTTTGGAGGCCACTAAATGCAGCCCGCTTGTGCTTGGCTGAGTTAGGATACTTTCGGTTTCACGTTGAGGGCATGGTTGAACTTTCCTAGATTTTTTGGGGGCCCCAAGTTTTCGTTTGACTGCTTCAACTTTTTCCTTAGAAACGTTCAATGATGTCTCCAATTCTTTAAGGTAGGGAGAAGACGTGATAATTTTGGCCTGACCGGGTTTCCTTCCTCGTGTCCCTTTTTTTTGTTGCAATTTGGGAAGTGGTAAAATGTCATGTGGGGTCACGTGCGTTTCTACCGCTGGGGTATTCGGTCTACCGTACAGTTGCTCAATTACTGTGGGATTTGTTGCCGTGTTAGTCTCAGATTGTTCAGGTACTGCAGCGGTAGATTCGTCATCAGAGCCTTCTTGTGCAGCTTTCAGAAAATCAGATTCGTCGAAATTATTCCTGCGGACCGGATATAGCCCTGTCGTCTCGAATCCTTTAACAGCATTGGAACCACACTGTATCTTAAGGTAGGCCCTGCCGAAGATTTCTGTGATATCATACTGTGTGATGGGACGTTTATAGGTTCGCATGAATACACGAACCTCCTCATTGTAATGGGCCTTGAGTGCACCCATAACACTTTTGTCTAATGGCTGCAGTTTATGGGTGGTATGAGGAGGCAGACATATTATGGTTACCCCATTCTGTTTTGCTAAGTGCAAGAACTCTAAATTTCGAGTGTGTGTGTTATGCCCATCTAAAATTAGAAGAGCCGGTTCATCCCTTGATGGTTTCACTTTAGTAAGAAAGTGGTGAAACCATTCTGTGAACAAACGTGTTTGGATCCATCCGGATGGATGGCATGCGAATAGAGAGCCTGGAGGTGCTCCTTTTTGAAGCTGAACATTCATATTTTTTCTGGGATATATTATCATTGGTGGTATAAATGTACCAGCAGCATTCATGTACATAATAACAGTCACTAATGAACCACGTTCAGCGGATGTTAGCGCTCCCACTTGTCGCTAACCCTTTAAAGAAATTACTTCGCTGCACCTTGATTGTACCACCGTCAAACCCGTCTCGTCAACATTGAATACCCTATCTGCAGGATAATGGACTTTCTCCATTTCGGCTTCCAGAAGATCGAAAAATGCATTAACATTTGCTTTGTTGAATCCTGCTACTCTGGCGAATGATGTCCCGGTAGGTTTTCTGAGTGTTAAGTTTGAATGTCTTTTCAAAAATGCCTTTAACCATTTCCTCCCTGTTTGCCCGAGGTGTTCAGAAAACCTGTGCTCGATGCCATTCGCAACTGCAAGTTGGTATGCCATTCTGCGAACATCTGTTCTAGTCAACCCAAAGAAACGATTGTCCATATCAAGCAAATAATCTGCAAGTTCATTTTCTAACTCGATTGAGAGGACTGGTTTTCGTCCTAACCGTGTGTCACACACCGTAACTGGCTCTCCGTGTTGTTTACATAACCGGAAAAGGGTGCTTCGTGGCACATTAAATTGTTTTGCTGCTTTTAAATACCCCATTCTACCATCCCTAACTGCTGCCACTGCTTCCTCCATGCTTCCTTTCTCCCACAATTTTCTTCCATTTTCTTTTTTCCCTTTCCTTGACTTAGGCATGTCTGAATACAAACGGAAACCATTATTTATGTTTAAACAAATAGTGCACCTAATATGGAATATATTCCATAATTGGACCTTGTTGATATTCCATATTAGGAACGCCACGCATTTGGAGGTTAATCATGTTATGAACTGACAGGCTTTTATCAAGGGAAAAATTAGGCTAGCAATAGACTAAGCCGTCATCCTACATTGTATTATATTGCGCAGATTTCGAATTCGGCTCAAAACACACTCTAGATATCAAAAAATACTAACCTGCTGCTTGGGACCTCGGTTGGCCGCGTGGGTCAGAGTGTCGTGCTACTGATCAGCCGGCCGGCCGGGCCGCGAGTTCGAATTTCTCCTTCGCCATGGATGTTGTGTGTTTGTTTTAGGCAGCAGCGGTGGCCGCAGTAGTAGACTCTTCCGTCTCCTGATCAGCCGCCGTGCGCTGTGCGGGTTCGAGTCCCGTCCCAGGAGAAATGTTTCTCTTGGCCATGGATGTTGTGATTGTCCGTAGGTGGTAGATGGTCTCTGACTGTCGAACGCGGAGGTACCACCCGGCGGTTCTCGTAGGCGGAGCCAGAATGTGTGCATGTTGATGCACACGTGTTCCCTCGCCAGATTCCGTGTGGCGTCCCCCCTTTCCCATGTATCCCCCATATCCCCACGGTACCCAATGGGTGCTTAGGCCTTAGGCCTTCGTGGTAGTTGGAGTATAAAAAAAAAAACTTTAGTAGGCGGCGATTCACTGTACCTCAGTTTTTGACAGACTGCAGATACTTAACGACGGTTACAGGTTTCTGTAATGGGTTTTGAACCTTGGGGCGCCACTTCGGGCATAAAAACGGCAGATGGCGCAAATAATTTAGAAATTAATTGCGTATTCCATAAAAGGAGACTATTCCATATTTGGTCACTTTCCTCTACGTGACACTATCGTGTGGAACTGTGTTGATAAGAGCAAAACAGTACTGAATTAATCTCAAACTCATGCGGATCACTGGATGCATCAACTCTGGATAACACTCGTTCGGTCCAAAAAATGAATATACAATATTTCTCTTATCCATACGTTTTATATTTGGATTCCTATTACCACATCACTATGCTTTATCAGTTTTGCCTTTATCATAGCTGTATTAGCTTCTTGGTAGCTTTTTGTAAATTCAGATTTAGTTTTTTTGATATTTAGCGGCACAATTACTGTATGCCAGTTTTTCTCTTGACGAAATGAAATATACGCATTTATTTTAAATTGAATGTTACAGATGTACGAAGTAGTGTTATAGCTTACATGCAATGCACACCTCCACCTCCTCCAGAATTGGACTTACATCCTAAGCCGTGTGAAGCGCCACTGGATTGTTTTCCAAATCTGTGTTGTCAGGAGGGCGGAAAGAAGTACTGCAGGCCTCCGAAACGGAATATTCTGACGTTAATTGCCGATGTTGGACAGGTAAACACAAATATATACGAGGGATGTCTTTTAAGTTTTGCATATAGAAACATAGTAGGCCGCGCGGATCGAACGTCAGTACTGAATCTTAACCTCACTCCTTAGTAAACTTAAATTCAATGTTTCACAACAATACGTGCAGTGTTCTCACTACAGTGAATTTTTAAGTGTCACCAAGTCATTAGAAAAATGGAACTCAACCGAGAACATTTTCGCGCCATAATTTATTACAACTTTGAGAGACAATTATCGCAACAAGAATGCCTTGCTGAGTTACTGTCTGTTTTCGGCAACGAAGCGCAACATCAGTCGACAATTTCCCGTTGGTATGAAGAATTCAAACGTGGACGGGTGAGTCTTAGCGACGATCCCAGGGTGGGTGCACCAAAAACGGCAGTCACCCAGGAAAACGTCGATGCTGTGCGCAAACTCATCATTGAAGATAGACATGTGACATATCGCGAGATTGAGGCGTCCTTGAAGATCTCAAAGACCTCAATTCAAAAAAATTTACATGAAGAATTAGGAGTAAATAAATTAGTTTTTCGTTGGATACCCCATCTGTTGACTTAAGAGCAGAAAGCAGTCAGGGTTAATTGGTGCCAAAAAACGCTTGACTGTTTCAATTCCGGAAACTCAAAAAATGTGTATAGCATTGTTAGTGGTGATGAATCGTGGATTTACTGTTATGAACCAGAAAATAAACGACAGTCGGCTGTTTGGGTGCTCCAAGGTGAAGAAAAGCCAACAAAAGTCATCCGTTCTCGAAGTATCTCGAAAAAGATGGTCGCGACATTTGTGTCAAAAGCGGGTCATATTGCAACAATTCCTCTTAATGAGCAAAGAACTGTTACTGCGGATTGGTATACCACCATTTGTTTGCCAAAGGTCATCACCGAGCTTCGAAAAATCAACCCCGAAAGAAGAATCATCCTCCATCAAGAAAATGCAAGCTCGCAGACAGCCCAAAAACAAGGCAGTATTTAACGGAAGAAAACGTGGAATTATTGGACCATCTTCCATACATTCCCGATCCTAGTCCTAACGATTTCTTTACTTTCCCAAAAATTAAAAACAGGCTGCGTGGTCAAAGGTTCCAGTCACCAGAAGAAGCAGTTGACGCATTCAAAAATGTCGTTTTGGATCTGCTAGCAAACGAGTGGAATAAGTGCTTCGAAAATTGGTTCGAGCGCATGCGCATGATGTGTATTAATCTTCGAGGAGAATACTTCGAACAACAATAGTCATTTAAAACTACCTGCCTTGTTGTTTTATTTCCATATGCAAAACTTAAAGGACATCCCTCGTAGTAAACAAACTTCAATATTCGATTAGCTGCCAAGACTGCAAGCTTAAAATAATGCAATGAGTATAGTTACTATCAATCGTCAGACCGGTCTCGACGGTCTGTTATCCTGTCAGGTCTGGCTACCCAGATACCAAACAAGGTCTGAGAGGAAGAAAGGTAGGAATAAGTAGAGCAAAGGAAAGAAGTAAATCATATGAAGTTGGAAACGCTTAAGTATTATTGGTTTGACTCCTCGAATAATTTTGTAAATCGAAAAATAGTTATGATCGGTTTTGAATGCTGAAATAATTTTGGTTGGTCTTAAATTCGCAATTAAATTTTTATCACAGTGCGAGGCGCGATCTGGAAATTTTTGACTGTTTAACCTACTGAATCACGGAGCAGAGGGTTGCTGCGCGATTACCCCGCGGTGCCGGTTATTTCACGTAGTCCCTTAGATTTGGGATGTCAAGATCTCTGTGAATGGTCTCATTTGACATGTACCACGAGGCGGTGTTGATTGTGCGTATGGTTTTGTTCTAAAGGACTTTCAGTCTCTGCATATGCGTCTTGGCGAGAAAGCACCACTGCGCATGCGTAGGTGATTGCGAGTCTTATGAACCATTTTATACAACCAAATCTTGTTGATCAAATATAATTTTGAATTTCTGCACAACAAAGAATAGCGCTGCCGGAAATTTGGAATTTAGTCTACAAAATTTCAGTATGTTTCTGCCAGGCCAGCCCCTTATCAATGATGACTCAAAGGTATCTGATAGATTGTCTACATGGTATACGAATTCCGTCCACTGATATCTCTGATTTGGCACCGCGATGTTTTTTCGTACAAAAGACTGCCTGCGTATTCGGATTATTAATTTTGATCACCCACCGATCCGCCCACTGCAATACTTCTTCCACCACACCCTACAGTCTGTCGTGAACCAGGTTACCAAAACACGACTGGGCTACTAGTGCAGCATAGAGATAGATGTCGCAGTCGCTGGGGCAAGGGATGTCATGTATATAAAGGAATGGTGCTAAGACCTATCCCTGAGGAACACCGGCTCTTACGGGGTGTTGTTGACGAAACAATGTTAATTTCCATCCTCCTAGAGCAATAAATATAGTGTATTTCGCAAGCGGATGCAGTAAGTTCCAGTCCAAACTAGACAAAGTTTATTTCTTCGCTTAGTGTTACTCAAATATAAGTATCACATCTCGTCAAGATGCAATACGGAGGAAACTTGTAAAATTGTGAACAGGCAACCGTAGGTGCAACCAAAATCAAACTTTGTTGTTAAATTATCACAATATTGGATAGGCAACGTTTCTATAACATTTTTTCTCTTTACACTTGACCAGATATGTAACTTAAGTCAAAAAGTTAATGTAGCCTCTGAAACGAATCCCCTGATTTTCATGCTAAACAATTTCATGATTTTCTGGCAAAATAAAACCACATGTCTAGAAATTAATTTTCACTAACGTCTTGGGGACGCCCAGCCTTTTGGGAGCAGAAATGCCTACCCCTGTTGGTCCTGAGCTTTACTGGTTCTGGGAGGTGCCATCTTAAAATTGCAATGTTGCAACATACTGTATAGTACCATGAAAGAACAACTGCACTGCCATGTGGAAGACATAAATATAACACAAATTGTCATTTTGATTTTTACTTTGTAAAAGGCCACAGTGGTAGCTGAGACGCCAGCAACAAGTAATTTCTCCATAGTGGTTTCATTTGGGCGGTAAAACATATAGTCAATAAAGTACAAAGCTCTAAAATATTCCAGATTTTGCTCGAATATATCGGTTACTCTGTGGTCGCATACGTACCTTATTCTACGATTTAGTAGTAGTTATGAAACATTATTTTTATTCTTTCAGAGAGTTATCCCAACTGATGTGGCCAGAGAGTTTATCAAGAGAATTTCCTAGTTCAAACGTAACTGCCGAATTCTTTTACCGAGATAAGTTTTGATGTACAAAGTTATTATTTGTATTAGCTTTTTAATAAAATAGTGCATTTTTAAACAACTGTGTTGAATAACTTCACCTCCCAAGCTTTTAACTGAAAGGTACAACTGAAAACAATTGGATGTTTCAAATTTTATAAACAGTATTATACGTTTGTACTTCTAGGCGAAACATGAAAGGCATTAAGAAAATAACCTCCATATTGACATTGCGATTGTTCTCCATGTCCTATGAGGCCTTTGCCCACACAAAGTAGTCGGCATATTTCCAGTTTACTATACCGATGAATGATTAGGATTCGGGAAACTTCATTATTGTTCTAGGAGTGTGCCGATTTCGGTTTTTTTAATGCGACTTGTGTATAAACCAGGTTAACCTACACACCGCGAGGCGCCTTACTTGCTTACTGACTCACATAGTATCACAAAACATCGTAACTTCTCATGGAGGAGGAGAAGGAGGAAAGGAAGACAGGATAGGACTTGGCTATTTAGTTTACAGTTTTCAATGTATCGATTATTTCAAGCCTTTGGTATATGTGTTACTTGGGAAATATGCTTATTTCTGCCTGACCTATACGCACTATCAAGAACAGTTCAAGATTGTATGATACAGGTGTTGTCGGCCTAAAAGCTATTTTGATTCATCCTCAAATGTTGGCTCTTACATTAGTAACAACGTGTCTATGTAAGTCATAAGATTATGCTAATTGTAAAAGCCTCGACCATGGAACCGTTTTATTTTAACGTATTTTAAGGAATTAGTTGTATTTGAACATCCGCATATAGAAAACTATTCCATCGCCAATTACGATCACGGATATATGTTTATGGTGGTATCTGTGGAATAAAAAAGTAAAATGTATGTCCACCTATTTATCGAAGATCGGCACACAACATTTACATAAGAGACCCTATCAAATTCAAAAATATCTACTGAATGTCCAGGCCTTTTTACCTGATTTTTCCTTAACGGGGCTCCTACAATCACGAGCACCATCTGCTAAGGTAACGGGGGCGGTGAGCAGGAAACGATTGTGGGCTGGTCTTAGACGGCGCAACTTTAAAAGAGGAAAGGATGACTGCGGGTGCCTACCGAGGTAAATTTTTATAATAACAGAGTCGGATTTCGATTAGCGATCTAGCCTGTAAATCGTTTCCTATTTCGGTACTCAGCTAGTGATCATTTAGTATTGATCTACCCTTGTTACTGTTTGTCGATATTGTGTTGTTGAATTGTTGTGTTGTACTCTTGTCGGTGTGATTGTGCTTGAGTGATTTTTTTATCAAGGTTGATAATGGACAATAAAAGGTCATATGCGACAATTTTAATTACGAATTCATGATGAGGACAACAAGAGTGTGGAGCAGTTCAACTCTATAATCGCAAAATACATTGGGGTAAGCGAATAAATTATTGCAAGAAGAGATCATACTATGGAAGATGTGCTGCAGCTGTAGTGAGCTACAATACCGAGCGGCCTGTCTATGTGATCCAAATACATTTGCGTTCTAAACTTAGTCCAACCTCGCTTATCACTAAGATGGAACAAAGACTCAAACGCAAGAATCTTGGAAAGAAAATCAGACCAAAAAAGGTTGATATAAACATAACTAACAATTCGGATAGCAATTCCAAAGAAAATATATACCTAATAGTTTTATGGCGAATTCTGTCAAAAACCTGACATGAACGACTTTGATTTGGAGGTTGCTAAGCAAGAATTTTTAGGGAAACTTAGAAAAAGTGACGACGAGATTTTGCATATTGAACAAGTCACCAAATCACAGGACTGTGCATTGTGGCGTCTTCATCGGAGGATAAGGTTGACAGCGTCTCGATTTGGTGAAGTTTGTAGAAGAAGTCAGACAACAAGCTGTAAAGTTCTAGTAAACTCCATCGTATACCCAACAGAGTTTTCTAGTAAGGCAATAGAAAAAGGCAATACTAAAATCATTGGACACGGCAGTTCAATCTTGTGGTTTGTTTGTTGATCGCACACATCCATTTCTGGCAGCATCACCTCCATTTACCTATTACAGTAGACAAGACATGTACTTAATCCAGGTAAAGCCTACCTGTTTATTGCTTTGCAAAAACTCCCTAACTGTTTCCTCTTATTTTGACGGCATAAGATATTTTTATGAGCCTCGTTCAATTGTTACCATCTACCACACGACCCTTGTAAACATAATTGTGTTTATTGACATGAATAAACGAATTAGAATTTGAGTTCTTTAATTTATTTTAGGGAAGATATAAAATTATTTGAATACATTTTTTCTTAGTCAGAACGCACCGTCCGTCGCGTCGCTTGGACTGGCAGGACGAAACAGAAGATGAATTTCGCCCAAAAACCGATTTGCACTTCACAGCTTACTTTTTATTATTTCCAAATGAAACTCTTGCAGCGTGCTAAAAACAAAGTCCACAGGGTGCAGCGATCCACTTTTTCGATTTTATCTACTAGGATTTTTTTAAAATATCAAGAAGTTGAGCACAAATAGTGAGCATTTCAACCCACCATAATTCTTGCGCAAAGACAAAATTTTGTGAAAAGCTCTGGTAGCACCCTAGGCAATTATGGCCTGCTTATATCCAGAAATACATCACAAACTGCAGAACACAAAAGGTAACGGCGAAATGGGTACATTTCACGGGTTATGAAATTCAATTGAAAATGCAGGTATAAAATCTACCAAATGTTCGTTCTCAAAAACATATTTCCTTGACATATCGATAATTTTAAAGTTCCACGCTAAATTCCCCTATACTTGACTGGAGTGATATCCGAATTTATTCTTCCCTACTATCGGTAGTTGCAGATCTGTTGGCTGTTGGTGTCAAACCTATAAAGCAGGTACCGATTTTTTGAAATCGTGAGCACATTATTCGTCGGATTTTCGATACCTAAATTTCCTGTAATCACTGGGATCAGAAGCTTCTTAGTAATAGAACATGTTTCACTGATTTCAACCCCCCCTTTTTAAGTAGTACAATTTTTTTATGTCAATGATTAGGAGCCCCTGAAACGTATTTGCAGAAAGACTTATCTACGCGATATTATATGAAATAGGGCCACCAAATTATCTGAATACGTCCTCTTAGTCCGTACATTGCACCGCAACGCTTAGTTTGGCAGCACGAAACAGTAGACAAAATTCGTCAAAAATACGATTTGTAGAGGTTTGCGCGCTTCGAAATTGACGCTTTATTTTTTGATATTTTTTAATAAAATTTTCACAGAGTGCTGAAAATAAAACCCCACAGGGTGCTATAGAGCCACTTTTTAATTTTTTTCACTAGGTTCTTTTTAAAAAAATTGCGAAGTTGAACAGAAAAAGTACGCAATTCAACCATCATAAAACTTGTGCAAAATCAAAATTTCAAAAAGTGCTGCTATAGCACCCTGGACAATTATCTTCTCAACATACTGTATGAATTTCATTCAAAAATATTGAAAAATTGAGTGTCAGTTTTGAAGCAGCTGAACCCTGTTAAATGGCTTGAAGCTCACTGCGTCGGAGCCACCTTAAACAGCTGTGGAAACCCCTAAAATCTGAAGAAAAATCGTACGATTCGAAATTTTTGCTGTGAAACTCGAGTCATGGGAAAGAACTTGAATAATACCCAGTTTGGCAAAATTGCGCCTCATTAAACCCAATGTTCACAGATCTGATACTTGTACTTAGTTAATTTGGAAGGCATTAAGACTGCTTTTGGATGTTGGGAATCCCGAAAAATAGTGCCGTGTAAAAATACTAGGACAACATTTTTAATCAAAAGATAAAGTCGCTAGTACAAATTACATCTTATGTAAGAAACTAAAACGATGGTTCACATAATTAATGAAAATATGTATATATATTTTCTTTTTCTTATTTTAATAAGTTTGATCCCTACTAACTTTCTGATTTGTAAGTCAAGTCGTTATTCCATTTTTTATCCTATGTAGGAAACTAAAAGGATGATTGATATAATCAATGAGAGCATATAATCATAATAATGATAATACTTAGTAAAAAACCTTTATTTTCACCTTGAAAACAATCTGCAAATGCCGTCCTTTCATGCCAATCAGGGCAGCATGTATACAATATACATATTTTATTATAGTTTTATTACCAAAAGAAGGAAAGAGAAATTTGCATAAAGTAAAAGAAAATCGAATGAAAGTAGGGTAGAAACATCGAAAAAATGGTTTCATAGATAGACAAAACATAAGAGTCACAAACAAAGCACTTAGCATAGCCAAATTAATTTAGAACAAAATAAAATTAAATAAAATCAGTGGCTATTATTAGATCATTGATTTTTGATTTGATAGATTTTCATGCAAGTAAATTATTGGTTGTTTCCTTAGTAACATCGAATAAATCAAAGAGATCTGGTGATAAGTCCATCTTTGTCTCATCGTAAGCCAAAAAATACTTTCAATACAATAATGTGTTCTTTCAAATCTGCTTAGACCGTGAATATACATGATGCAACAGTTTTGCATCCTTTGTATTCCGTTTAAGTCAAACAAGGGCTATACATAGAGTGAGTCAACCTTGCTCACCATGAGAAAGTTAGTCTAATTTTGGTATCAGTCTTAATCATATGTTCATGAAATGTAAGGTAAACTCCAAGATTGCGAACGCATTTCTAATGAACACGTTCCTCCTCACTTAGTTATAGTTTCACAACTTTCTGGTGTCTATCGTCAATCTTATTGGCCCATTCTTATATTGATCAATTAGACAGATATGATATTGCCGATATGTATGGGTCGATCCCTAATCAGTATCATTGAAGCAGTCATTCTATGAAACATTTTTTATTCCATATTATTTACACATGATGGCCAAAATGTAGCATTTTGGATTTTACAATAAGGTATTTACACGACATTGATGATATTCGACAATTACAAAAATGATGGCAATGATCACTGGCTTTCAACATACGAGTAAATTTGTACAAACTGACACTCAACGTCCGAATACAAATAAGAATTTGAAACATTTCAGGAAATTTTTATTTCTATTTGGACGGTGTATATATTGTGTCATATAGACATGACAGTTGTTCATTTTGTTATTCTTAAACAGTCTATTTTCCAGCTCCAACTCCAACGCCAACGCCTTGTCCTCCTCCAATGCCTATTCCAATTCCAATGCCAACGCCGCTTCCCGCTCCCCCTGTGCCTACTCCTACTCCGACTCCTGAAAATAATTAATTCATCAAAGTGTATTCAAACCTTATCTGCCCAATTCCAATATAAAGCAGTTATCACTGTATCAGTGGGTATATCTATAATTAGTAATTTTGCAAAGCTCTTGGAGACTATACAACAGCATCACACATATCTTATTAACGAAATTGGACAATGCTGGTACATCTCCTAGCTTACTTTCTCTCTTCAGATTATATTTGTCAGGAAGGAGGCAAGATACTGATTACGAAGGTATCAAATACCAAGATATCTTTAAAATTTCAGGTATGTGGCTCTTTGGAGAAGGGCAGCGTAAATTCTTGAAGTTTTTATCTGTCAGAACCGAGGGCACATATTATTTGCCAGTTGGAACACCATTGTGAAAACATGGTTTTGTTACCCCACGAACTAACTTACTATTACTATTAAAAGTTTGATTACCCGAGTTTCAACTACACTTACGTAGCGCTTTTAGCATCGTATAGATTTGAAAGAAAACAGCAACTCTTTTATTAGGACTACACACCACATGCTTGTCTCAACCAGTGATGTTCCACAGGGTTTCGATTTGGAACCATTATTGTTCATATTATTCGTTAATGATCTGTGTGAATCTTTGGATTTTTTCTAAATTGATCTTAGCAGATGAGCTGAAATTTTATTTATTTGACTCCTGCGTGGAAGACTGCATACTTATTCAAGCTCAGGTGAATTTACTACAAACAATTAACTACGTCTTAATATAAGCTATTTTTTCCAAGAAAACCAACGTTTTGTTATACAATTTATTATACAATGGATGAATGTGTTCTTGCTCTTCTTCTATGAACATATTAATCAAATTATTACAAGCGCTTTCAAAACGAAATTGTAAAAATTTTAACGCTTGTACTTTATATACTTTATACTTTAGCTTGGCTAGGTCTAGATTCGAAAATGGATCTCTGATATGGAGTCCAATTTACAAGCAATATATCGATGCTATCATATATATCCTACTAGAGGTACAGAATATAATACCCTCCTTTATAGGCTTGCAACCCTTAGAACAGCGGCGTAAGCAATCCGCAATTCTAGCTTGGTATAAACCGTTGCATAATCTAATAGATTGTCCCACATAACTTTCACATACCTATACAGTTTCTGGTGCCACAACTAACATCTAGATATAATGTTCCTTTTTTATGCCAAAGAGCTCAAATGAACTTACTTTTAGCGCCTGTTAGTGTGATGTGTGTGAATGCTAGTAAAATAGCCGACATATGCGACATATTTATTGTAGCTTAGGCAAATTGAAGTGCAAACTGCGTCTTTATTTTTGACTTCCTTACCTCTCTTTCTGTTAAAATAAAGCTATAATTTTTTGTATTGAATTATCAAATTTGTAATTGCTTTTTTACAAAAAAGCTCATGGTTATTTCTTTTCTTTTTTATAGTAGATTGCTCTGTGAATGGTGTTAAACTGTTGGGCAATAACGACTTATTATTATTAGTATTTTTATCATTATTAATCTTTCCAATTTCGCAGCTCTTGTTTGTTTGCTGACTTTCTTTATCAAATCCGGGCTATCACATACCCCTTAGGTTAGACGTTATGTTGTGACCTATCTAATAAAGTGGGCTGTACCGAATACGGCCACAGTTCGCAGTTGGTAAGGGTTTAAGGTACCATGTGCGTCATAATTCTTAGATTCTTAGATTCTTGTGGAACCTATTATAATTGGAACTATGTGCGTACGCATTTGCCACATTCTGTTTATCTCTATAGACAAATCCCGGTACTTTATTATATTTATATATATATATATTATATTTATATATATTATTTAGTACTATTATTATTATTTACATCCCGTCAAAACAAACCTCGTGCTTGGACTCTTATACGACACCATGAGGTCACTGTGCAGCTGCAAAACAAGATCAGCGGGCGAGAGAATCAACGGGAGAAAATATTGACGGAAAGAAGAACGTAGTCATATTATTTATCAAATCGAACTTAGATACTAACCTGATCCACCTGTACTGTATGTGTCATAGCTCTGATGTTGATGTATATGACCTCTATAGCCTGTTCCATATCCGTCTTCATATCCGCCCCCATAGCCTCCGCCGTAGCCTGAAAGATGTCCGGTGGTTCAATTCAGTTTCAAAAGTATAATTAACATATTAATATATGTCATGCTAGCACTTCATCGGAAAATGATGGGATATTATCGAAAGTTATAAAAACACGTCATACCTATAGAATAAGACCTTTGTCACACATTATGAATTCGATTGCACAAACTGGTGTGGTTCCATCATAATTTAAAATAGTAAGCCCAGCAGGTAGTAAACATCATGTAAGCGATTATAGAATAAGTGTGATAGATACTTTTGCAAAGCTTTTTGAAAAGTTTATAAAAGAGAAGCTTTCCAAATTTTTCGTATCCCATGACATGCTATCGAGCAATTATGGCTTAATAGAGGAACTTAATACAAATGATAAAACTGGTAAGACAAATAACTACGAAAAGAAAACCATAGCCGTATTTATAGACCTGGCGGAAGCGGAAAATTTTGCTATCAGAGTCCCTAGAGTACAAATTTTTCGATCATACCGATTCAACTAATAGGCATCAAATTCTTAAAATACTGTGTACCGTAAAGTACCAGTTCTTGGACCAATTTTAGTTATCGCATATATCAATTCGCCAACTAGCCTTAACTTCGATTTCATAAGTTGACGCCACCGTCCCTTTGTTAAGTCACTTGGGATGCAATCAAAGGACATACACGTAGTATTGCTTTGCAAAAAGTTTGAATTTTATGAATTTGTTTGAATAAATGAATTATGAAGCATTAATTACTAAAAAATATAATTCCTCATTTTCAATTCAAGGATAGCCCCAAGTTAATATTTGTTATGTAGAATTTAATCTGCTATCAAAAACATCTTAAACATTTTTAGAAAAAAATCTGTCTTCACTATTAGATTGGTAAAGTAAACTAAGAAAAGAATAAAAATAATTAAAATCATTATTTTTATTGTCGTTGAATATGAACTGATGATGCGGAAACTGTAGTAATGAACTGATTTGGATTTCGCAGCTTTAAAAGTCTAATTTGTATGCAAGATGTGGTTTTAGGCTTTCAGACTAGTCGGTCTTTACCGTATGGTCACAAGTTGCACGTTCCCAGTGCTCAAAGACTAAGCAAAACTTGGAAAAAATGCCTTCAACTATTCCCAACTCCAAAGTTAGGCCCAGATTTTTCGCCCTGCTCTGGGGCCTCTTTAGCTGCCGGCTATGAGTTGCTGTGTACCCAGGGCCCAAAATCAACTACAATAGATTTTACAATGTGAAACTACCATCAGACTGGGTTAGAAGGATTGTCAAACAGGCGAGAATGACTTACCTCCTCCGTAACCACCTCCATAACCGCCTCCATAGCCTCCTCCATAGCCGCCTCCATAGCCTCCTCCATAGCCTCCTCCATAGCCTCCCCCATAGCCTCCCCCGTATCCAACACCGTGTCCTCCTGCATAGCCTATGGAGTTACCATGCCCACCATATCCACCGCCATACCCTACTCCATAGCCCCCTCCTATCAGGGCTATTGTCCTTTTGTCTCTGTGTTCTGCTACTGGAGCACAATATGCTGATACTATTTGAAGGACCACCAGAAGGCAAACCTTGGGGAAAGAGTATAAGATATGGGTACTCGTTTGTTTCCCAACAAAATATTCCAAAGGATCTACGTCATATTCTTACAGCTCTGACAGATCCCGTATGCTATATTCTTTGTCTCAACGCGCTTATTATCGTTATTTAAACCGTTTCTCCAAAGATAAAGATGGCAAATATTAATATACCTGGTTTTTTTTTAGAAAAATCTTGTGACGTAAAAGAATATTCTGTCAGATAAAAGAATTGATCTCAACGTCTTTTATTGTTCTTGTATAACTATGCTTAATGAGCTCATTTGAAATCAAAAACAAACCATAAAAATATCTAGTCAATTATGTAAACAAAATAGATGCAAAAATCCCAAAACCCAACTAGTTTCTGTAAATACCTGTTCGAGCAGGTGGAAACGAAAAACTGACAAATTCTTGACCTTTAATCATTGGTAAACGTATTCTACCTGTGCATAGTCAACCTAATGCTAGATTCCGTCATCCAAAAAATTATCCGAGATAAAATGAGATACCTTAGTGTTAACTGGGAGAATTTTTCCATAGCTATTCCTCTGTTTACTATTATACGTTGAAAAAGTAAGTGTCTCATAGATGACGCTATCTGTAGGAGCATATAGGTGGCTATGAGACACTAACCTTTTCAAAATACGTATAGTGAATAGAGAAAAAACTGCTCTAATAGATAGATGATGCTACCCCCAGAACTGAGAAATATAACTGCTATTAAAACCAATTGGCTTGCAGAAACCTTAAGGTTGTTATAAACTCGCCTTCAGTAGGTATACACTGAAAGCGGTAAAAAAAATAAAAACGTTCGTAAAACCTTATTATCTTGAGCAACTGTTTTTAAAACTGCTGTGGATTTTAAACATACGTAACTCTGAGGCTGTGTATACTTTTAGAAATAATTTACCTCATTGTTGACATATAACAGATGGGCCAACAAATTTTTATACGCTGAGACTCAAATTTCTCGCACTTTGACTTTAAGTGTATGTATTATAAAGGGTGTTTCAGAACTTTTTTTTGTTATTTTTGGATTTTCTTTCTACCCTAGGCATATTTGCATGTCTCCTTGGAACACCCTGTATATAGGTAGGTACGTATATGTAACTATAAAATAATAAGAACTATTCAAGAAAAATGACAAAAGAATTTGAAAACATGAAAAACGTCAAGCTGAAAGACAAATATCTATAATTTTAAATAATTTTCGATAGAATAAATCGTAATTACGCCTTAATAATTCATAATTTTTGTGAAAAGCTTAACATTATTTCAGCGTCTCGGTATAGCAAGAAATCAATCGACAGAGAAACATTATTATCAAATGTTTTATTTTATACCATTCCAAGGCATATATCCTAGATAAAGACAATAGTGACCTTGGAATTAAAACTGTTCAGTTCGAATGCGGCTGTGATAAATACCGCTCGGTTCTAATGTAAATCAAAACTTAAAAATCGACGAGTCGTAGTGCTGAGATGTGTTTTTAACAATAAAATCGCAGAAATTAACAATACATTACTCCACTCTAAACAACATGCAACGTCCATTTCGGACATTAAAGAACATAGGATGAGTATACGAGTAGTTTATTGTTCCTAACAATAATTATAATTTTTACGATTTGAAAATTAATTAAGTTAAGAGGAGTTTCAAAGAAGGCTAAAGAAATAGAATTAGGGCATATCGTTTACCTACACAATAGTCGTAAGTTCAAGTAAATTTAATTGAGGGTGTTATTACTAATAGTAAGGGTATCTTTAAGACTGCTTAAAGAACTACAACGTCACAAACTAAAACGTAATGAGACCAAACAGACTGCAAGCTCATCATAAAACTGAATAGCTTTAAACTTAATTGAGACTAAACGATTTTAAAACAATAATAAGAGAAATACATTTTTAAGATTACTTACTCTCATTTGATAATATTATTATATGTTAAATAGTTTTGGTCGTATATCTACAAGGTAACTTGAAAACCAATACGTTTAAGCCATCAAATGCTACATTACCCTTTTGTAAAATGATAAATATGTATACTATCCTATGAGTGTGCATCGACGTTTCCTGTGCCATGTATTTGGTCGATTGAAGTAAATTGATAATTATTATTATTTACCACAATAAAATAGTTTTAAACCTCAAACCTAAACTGTTTTTATGGTGCTACTTGGATTGTACCTGATTTATCTCAGATATTTTTGAACGCAGGAATATAGCATTAGGCTGCTATGTTCAAGTAGAAAACGTTGGTCAATGCTTTAATTCGTACTAGTGTACTCAGTCTTGCACATATGGTAACTAAACACGGTGCCAAAAGCTAAGCCTTGAGTTTTTTAGTATTTATAGTGAAACGATAAAGTGGAATCTAGTACTATTTATATACATGGTGTTCCTTTGCAAACTCCCCACCACGGGTTTATCAAAAACCACTGATTAAAAGAAAAAACGCCGAGACCAAAAGTTTTGTCAACGGGGACAACTTTTTAACCAAAAACTACTTCACCCCTTTTCACCCTCTGCCTCCTAGGGTCATTCCCTTGAAAATTTCAATTGACAAGGGGTATCGAGTAATAGCTTATTTGAAATATCTTCCGAAGACCTCTATTTTGACGTTTGATCTTAATTTGTTAAGATAGAAAACAAAAACACAGGTTACTGGCCAAACAATGATATAGGCGATGTTCAAATTCCTGATGGGCATTTTCAAAAACATGATGTGGGATATCATGGCAGCTTTCGATGATGCGTTGACGAAGTTACAAAATTTTCTGATTAAAATGCTCTTCAATAATCAGGAGCTTAAGACCATTTTAAAAATAAAGTTGATATTTAATGCGGCCATTAAGAATTTCTTCAACCAAGTAATAATTTTAATTGTACGTATTCGTAGCTTTTGTTTTTTGCAAACGCAGATTGCTTACTGAATGTATAGTATGTGAAGACAATAGCGACAACACTGACACCATAGAACATCTAGACGAATTATTTTAATTCAGAATGCCGATTTCTAATGCAGATTGGGAAAAAATGATGACTTACCTTAAAGAATCCTGACGGCACCATCGCGAGGCTAGGATCGTTCTATTTTTTTAATTCGCTCGTCCAAAATCTCTTATATATCGGGGTTCAAGGATGTCGTCGGTCGCCCGGTGACAAAACCGGTCGAGAATTTTGGGCATTTTTTCCGTTTTTCGGTAAAACTAAAGTCGCTTGGTTATCATATTAAGGATATTCATCTAGTTAAGAGATAAGGCAAGGATAAAGGCAATTCTCAGAATGGCATACTTGAATATATATTAATATAGCCCAAGAAAAGCATAATATTTATGTTCTTGATTTACGCTGTGGATGGAAACGGGTGAGATCTATTCTGAGCTTCTAAATAAACAACACAACTAGCATTAAAAGCTTATGAAGAGGATTTCTTACATGGCCATCCTTCTTTTTACAACGGAACACGGATTTTGTCCAAAAAAATCCTATGGGTAGGTCTTGATCATACTGATACTTTAACAGCATTTCATCCAATAAATTTTAGTTCTTGAGAAATTGGGCAATAAAGAGCGTCTTTGTGATTTGATTACTTTCAATAGTACTAGTTTTCCGTACTCATGATATAGCATATCTGCTCTTAGTGATCGATAGATGCTAGGTATTATTTTTTATATATATTTTTTCATGTATACAGTGCATTTCAAACGCCCGTCCTCCCAGCTGGGTCATGTCAGCAAACTCAGATTTAGAGCGATGAATTTGATGCATGAATACTATACTTTGACGAAAAAATAAAGATTGAACATTTTTTATATGGGACGGGGAATCACGTGATACCTCCCTTTGAAGCTCCTCGTCAGCACTCTTAGTGCATAAATTCGCTACGAAAGGTTTTACATGTGCAATGAAATAGCAGACATTCTGTTTAAAGTAATAATAATACGAACGATTCCACAGAAAGAAACACAAGTTCCTTATGCATGGGCCAAGTGACTATTCACAATGCATTAAATTTTTATACCTTACACAATCTAAATATGTAATGATAACACATTCCTTAAAATAACAACACAGACGAATTTACAATACATGTTTTGTGTACCTACATTTTGTAAAAAAGAAAAAGATTTAGACATTGTATTAATAAAATTTTCATATTTTATTTAATATTAGCATGTATCCTTCCAGAGAAAATAGATAAAACATACTAACAACATGAATCACAAGAAAAGTCGACTGGTTATTACGATCCAGATAGTTGTTAATAGTTCGAATACGGCTGGCGAAGTAGTAGATGCAAACAGTTCAGAGTTTTGTTGTCTAAGAACTCATTTTTGAACTGCAAAGTCCTGCTTCTGGTATTCGTTTCTAAAACTAGCTTTTACTATGTGATAATGAGTATCTATTGAAAAATAAGACAGCACAAAGTGCCATTTCCTACCAGAACTGACCTCTGAGAGAGTAAACAGCAGCTATCCGACCAAAACTTTGAATTTGAGCCTTATCTACTTCTACTTTGAATGTAAAAGTTCTTAGGAAAAGTCTTTTTTGCGTTTTTGGCAGTAACGTTACTCTCTCTCATTTCAGTATCACGAGAAGAATCTCCTGAACAAGCGCGGATCCAGGTGCGGTCACGACTCCCCTAATCAAATTTGACCACTAATGTAATGGGTACAAACAGGTAAAAAATCACCACAACCTGATCAATTTGAAGATGGCGTGGAAATAAGCGTAAGTCTGGTTGCCTATACGTTCAGCTTGACGCAAACATAAATAAAATAGTGATTTTGCGTTTTTCGGCTTCATGTGTTCTGTGATTAAGGCAGGTAACTGAAAATTTAGACGTTCGGACAGGAATATAAGAAAAAACCTTTTCCCGAGCGTCTTTAATGCTGCGAGCAAATTTGATAAAAGTACTTTTTGACAAGCGGTTTCTAATTACTGATCTTCAGGAACGACTTTCCCCAGAGACACTTAATTTATCTAAGTTAGGTGCTTTTATTCCGAGCACCAACCGTTTCTGCACAATAATAGGCCAACTTAAATAATGTGAATGGATTGGTGGTCGCTTTTTACTCTAAATGAAAACTGCGATGCCGAAATGTATCCCAACATCAAAAAGTTGTATGCATCCTAGGTACATTACCAGTTAGTGTAGTGACACCAGAGAGGTGCTTTTTTATGCTCAGGAGGCGCAAGACGTGGTTGCGAGCCTTTATGGCAGAAGGTCGCCTCTACACTGGCACTACCATATGTCCATAAAGATGTACATTTCGATATGTAAGAAGTCATAAATCGATTTGCCAGAAGACGAAAAACAAGAATTATTTTTGTAGGTTAACAATAAAAACGTTCTTCTTAAATTAGATTTACCGTTTAAATCACATTAAGGCTACACCGGAGACGAATATCTCCCTGAACATGAATCCTGTGACCCCTCTGACACAAATGCTGGATCCACCCTTGCTTCTGAATAGGGGAAAGCTCAGCAAGCCCAAAAAATTCATGAATTTAATCACTTCGAATTCCTTTTTTGGGACAAATATAGTGTCAATGCTTTTAGCCAAGAATCTGTTCATATCACAGCAGCTATTCAGAAAAATCGAGCATAGTTCAAGGAATTGCTGGTGTTTGATGAAGACGTTTTTCATACTCTTCACCTTCAAAATCACGAATTAAGCAGAATCATTCATATGTTGTCCCGTTAATAAATATTTAATTTCTTTATGTTATTTGATTTTTTCCGGTTTATTAACAACAATCGAGCGATTGTGATTACACTAAGTATGATTGGCTACTTGGATATCCTTCCCAGAGAAAAGACTATAAGCCGATGTATTGGTTTGTCACTTGGTCAGTCAGGCAAGTCTACCCAAAAGCCGCTATCACTACATAATTTTGGCGACAAGCACTGCTATATAAACATACGGGCTTAGCTCCTTCTAGCCCATTCAAATTCGTTGATTCGGGGTAATTCCTAAACCTTTTGACCTTGTAGTCTTACCTAGTCGTCCGCTCTCCCATTATAGTTTTAAATCCAGGCACCTATAATAGGATCACGTCTAGTATAAGGACTAAAATTTGAAAACTTGTGCTGCCCTCCAGAACCAGAGCTGTCTCGTCTCAGCCTTCAATCAGCTCACATATTTTTATCGGATAGGGTAGTATCTACTACCTTTATTTTTCATTGTTGTTTTATACACTTAGATTAATTTCAAGGATATTTGAAGACGTGGTCAAGGGACAATTTTTTTTATAAATAGTGAGTGACTTTTTGTTGCCAAAACTTTCTAAAACTCTTTTGTTTTTAGAAAATGGTCAATTAGTAAATGTTGTACACTTTTCCTCAATATTTCTGATCAATAATTACTATATATCGTTTGCAAGCTTCTTAACATCCGCCAACATGTTTAACATAGAATGTGACGTTCAATGTTGTGGCGAATATGTAAATATGAAATAACAGCAAGAACACCTGTTAGATTCAACAATGTTCAACAAACTTGACCTCGATCTACAAAGATCTTCGGACGCTAGCCCATATGATTAACAGTTCTTTGAATTATCTTTAGACACGCAACTAGTACTGAACGCATAATTTAATATACGTTTTTTAACAGATACAATTTCAGTACATAAATTTCGAAATTCCGAAGAGGGCTTAGATCAGAAGCTCCAGAGTGGAAATATTCCATTTATAGCTTGAATGAGTACAGGCGATCGACCTGCTTGAAAAAAAAATATTTTTATGGTTTGTCAACTAAGGTATTTTACGTGGCGTATCCGCATCTTAATTTATGGAGTAGGAATTCCACGGGAAACCCGAACACCCAAGTCAAAGTCTTAGTAATAAGGTGCAGAACAAAAACAAAATAAAATAACGTTATATAATTTCGTTTAGAGATCTTATGCTTCTGTCATGTTTAGAGAAGAAAATACCCGTATTTGATTAACACTGAGAAAGTGTGTTAACCACAAATAAAATTTTGATCTGCTAACTAAACTGTGTACCTCTATACAGGGTGTTTCAAATTCAACCCTCATCATTGGTATCTCTGAAACTTTAAGAGATACGAAGCCGCTTAAATGGGGGAAAAGTTGTATTCAGCAAAACGCCGCTTATAAAGTTTTGAAATTCCAAGTGCTTGATGAGACGAAAAAAACCGAATTTTCCCAAAATCTCCTGACTTCATTTGTAGTAGGATTTCAGAATAAATTGCACATTGTCACTTTTTCTCCTCTACAAAGGAAACGTAGAATTTCAACATGAAGTTTCGTCTCTTGTTTTTTTTTTATATCGAAACAGCCGCGCAGGCAGAAGCCTAAATGCCGGAACACCGCGGCTGCTATGATGATCCCAAAGAAATTTTGTTAATACGATTTTTGAACTGCCTAAGGTTAGTAGAACTGGGAAAAGCTTAGTTTCGTAGATTGTTCCACAATCTAGACACCCTCGGGACAAAGGAGCGGTCGTATCGGCCAGTTCTGGATGTACGAAGTTTGACACGGTTAGGATGGGACACCGAAGTCAGGCGGGTCTGTCTGGCAGGCGCATCGCGCGGCGGCAACATGGAAGAGAGCTCTGAGGAGCAAAGCCCGTTGGTGTAGCGATAGAAAAGAGCTAGATCGCCGACGGCCCGCCGGTGCGAAAGAGTCCCGAGACTGTCTGTTAGAGAAAAGTCATCGATCAGTCGGACCGCCCTCCTCTGGACAGCATCGAGCATGGACAATGTAGTCGGTGCGGCAGCACCCCAAATGTGTGAGCAATACTTGAGGCTAGGCCTTATCTGGGCCTTGTATAGAGTGAGAAGGTCATGCGGAGAAAAGTACTTCTTAGCCCTAAACAAATAGCCTAGCTTTTTCCCAACAGCTGCAGCTATTGAAGAGATGTGTTCGTGCCAGATCAGGTCCTCGCTGATCTGGACTCCGACCATCCGAAATATATGGCTCTTTGGTAGAACTCGACCGTCCATCGAAACTGTATGAGCGCTAGGACGCTTTTGGTTCGTCAAAGTACAGTACTGTGTTTTGGAAGCATTGAACTGTACAAGATTGTTGCGTCCCAAGCAGTGATAGCCTCCAGGTCTCTTGTCAGAGAAGAAGTCGTCGCTAGTCTTCTTTTTTCCAGCTCAGCGGCAGAGATCGGCTTGTCACTCTGAATTCCTGCATGTAGAGTGCTGTCATCAGCGAAGCTGTGGATTGGGTTGATCGTGCAGGAAAGGAGGTCGTTGATATGTAAGAGAAACAGTGTTGGAGCCAAGACCGATCCCTGGGGAACACCCGCGTTGACGTTGTGGGATGAAGAGGAGAATCCGTCAATTACGACGGATATCTTGCGGCCAGAGATAAAGTCAGCCACCCATCTGCAAAGCTTTTCTGGGAGGCCGTAGGATGGAAGTTTGCTTAAGAGGGCAGCGTGCCACAGCTGATCGAACGCTTTCGTGATGTCAAGAGCAACGACATGAGCCTCACCATGAGACTGGATGAGATTACTCCATAGTTGCGTGACGTAAGCTAGGAGGTCCCCTGCGGATCGTTGGTGCCGGAAACCGTCAAGCTGTGACGTTCGAGGTAGTCCAGAAGCTCGCGATTTATGCACCTCTCCATCACTTTACTTATAACAGAAAGCAGAGCTATAGGCCTGTAGTTGTAAGGGTCGGTTTTAGATCCTTTTTTTGGGATGGGCTGTACATGAGCAAATTTCCATTTTTCTGGGAAGGTGCCGGATTCATAAGCGAAAGAACTGGAGCAAGCTCCGCTGCACATCTCTTCAGTACAATGGCAGGAATCAAGTCCGGACCAGAAGCTTTGTTGATGTCGAGCGACAAGAGCACTCGTCTTACGGTCTTATGCCTGAATGTTACTGCTGGTTTTTGGCATTGCGAACCGCTTCGTTATATTTGTTTCTGGACTCGACGTCGGCTTGTCTGTTCTCTACAGTGGGGTTTTGTAAGTAGGTTCTGTGGGCCTTGATCTTCTGCTGGCGAGCAGTGTCACACGATTTGTTGAACCAGCCGTTGGACCCTGCTTTAGGAACTTTCACTGTGTGAGGGATGTAGTCCTCCATTCCGACGTGGATAATTTCGGTTATTGAAGAACAGACAGTCGACGCATCCGCGTCAGTGAAACAGACATCTCTCCAAGGAAAGCTAGAGAAGAAGTCTCTGAGCCCCTCCCAGTCGGCATGTCCGTAATGCCAAGTTTTGCGGCCTGTGCGAGTTTCTGCTGCCACAGCGGCTTCTGACCGAAACCTAACCTCCACAACACCGTGATCTGAATTACCCAGGGGGGACAGGACAGCAGTACTGTAAGGGGCCGGATGCGAGGTCAGGAAGAGATCTAGCAGGCTACTGGCGTGTGACGAGACGCGGGGGAAAAAAGTAGGGCTCGTCACGAGCTGGGTCAGCCCTTGAGTAAGAGCGAACGCTTCGACTGCACGACCTGCTGCATCGGTCTTATTTGAGCTCAACCAAAGCTCATTATGGGCATTGAAATCACCGAAAAGAACTACCTCTGAAGCGGGGTGATTGATGTTCAGGAAGTCGATCTGGACGGCGAGGTATTCGAGTAGGTCATCCCAGTTATGGTTCGAGGGAGAGCGAGAAAGGCAGCAAATAAATTTGGGTGATGTTTTGGAGTTGAGGCGAAGCCACAGAATGTCCTTCCGGTCTGATTCCAAAGAAAGATCCCTGGAGCAGGAAAGACTGCTGCGGACAAAAGCCATAACTCCCCCGTTCTTTCTCAGATTGGAGTGCACCTTGTAGTTTGGGAAGTTGAGATGGTTAATCGGTGCAGTCTCTGAGATTTTTGTCTCCGCCAAGAAAAGCACGGCGGGACGATTGGATTGCAGGTAGTGATGAACAGCATCAATGTTGCTGTTGATCCCGCAGATGTTCGAAAAACAAATTTTATCTTCGATGTTGTTCCCTCGAGCCCACCCTCCACCCGGACATTCCGAGAGTGGAATGAGTTTACGTCCAGAGTTTTTAGTGCTCGAGGGATCCATCATTAATTTCTTTGTTTTGGTAGATAACCGACTGCATAGCTTAGGTGTGGAAACATGCGGACATTTATAAGACACCCTGGGAAGAGCTAGCGGGTGGTACTGCCTCGGTCGACTGGTCCTTGTCTACCACCTTCTTTTTACGTGTTAGTGATGTGATAGCATCAACTTCATTTCTTCTTAAAGACGCCATATTGGATTTTCGCACACAGGAATAGACTTTTCAATTCTGGTTCCAAGATGAATAATATGTCATGAAGTGACATTGTCAAACCCTAGTTATTCCAGAAAAAGAAAAGTTACTAGGAAGGTCTAAGAAAGTATCAGGTTTCATTTGTTTCGTGTACCAGACTAGACCTCAAATTGAGAAGAAGGGAAATAAGTCGCGTAGTGAACAATATACAGAGAAGAGTCAGGCTTTGCCTACAAAATAACCATACCTTTTTATTTCCTTATAATTTTCATCCAACAACAAATGCATGGTCAACTAAGGAAATACATCACTGTATTTAGAACTGAAAAGTGCATTTAAATGCGCAAAATTACAATATATCGGCCATATTGAAAAACAAAGTTGGCGATGATAGTCTTGTATCAATAACAACATGCAATTTATTTTGAAATCCCATCCGAAAAAAATGACTACCCGATAATTTCAAGGCCTACCTAGAAAAGCCTGCTTTTTTGAAATACCTAAGGTTTTGCAATGTCAATGTATGACATATTATACATTTTTGAAATCAGAATTGAAAACTCTATCCATCTGTGTAAATACTCATCCATGAGACGAAAGGTGATATTGACATTCTAATTATTCCTTTTTGTAGAGGCGAATAAGTCGCAATGTTTATGTGGAATTTCTTTGAAACTATACTACAAAGAAAGTCAGCACAGAATTAAAATGATTTTGGGAAAATTCGTTTTTCTCCGTCTCTCTCCGAAAGTACTCAGAATTTCGAAGCCTACTAAGACCCGTATCGTCAGTCGTCCATACAATTGTAGGGCGAGTTTATGGCCTCCTTGATTGTCATACTCCTTTCTCTCCTTCAAAAATTTCTAGATTAAACTTGTCCCGTGTCAGCGTCAGCGCTCTCCTATTATGAAGATACGTTTTCTTTTTAAATTGTAGGAAATTTCAGGCTGATAAAACATGATATAACTCAAAAGCAAGCACAATTTGATGCAAATAGATGTTTGTGACATAACCTCAAAATAGAGCGCTGACACGAAGAAGTAGAAAACTATGACAATCAAGGAGGCCATAAAGGCGCCCTACAATTAATTGTAGGGACGACTGACGATACGGGCCTAAGCGGCATTTCGTTGACTACCTAAGGCCCGTATCGTCAGTCGTCCCTACAATTGTAGGGCGCGTTTATGGCCTCCTTGATTGTCATACTGCTTTCTCTCCTTCAAAAATTTCTAGATTACACTTGTCCCGTGTCAGCGTCAGCGTTCTCCTATTGTGAAGATATGTTTTCTTTTTAAATTGTAGGCTGATAAAACATAATATAACTCAAAAGCAAGCACAATTTGATGCAAATAGATGTTTGTGACATAACCTTAAAATAGGGCGCTGAAACGGAGAAGTAGAAAATTATGACAATCAAGGAGGCCATAAACGCGCCCTACAATTGTAGGGACGACTGACGATACTGGCCTAAATACCATATTTTGCCCCCATTTAGCCGACTTCGTATCTCTTACAGTTTTCGAGATCAAAATGGTGAGGGTCGAATCTTGGCTAGTTGCCATAAGTAAATTAGTGTTTTTGAAATCAATATGCTCGTTAATGAGAATTAATTGTATTTCCGTAAGCGTATTAAAATTGTCATGGATGTCTCATTTCATCTCGAATAATTTTTTGGACGCTAAAAGTGTTGGCTAACTTCTGAGGAAATACGTTAATCGATGGTCGAGGGAACACATAAAACATTTATAGCTGAATAACATTTTATTATACATTAAAGTATCAACATTTAACATTAAACCGTTCATGAAAGTTGAAAAAAAACATCTTAGGAGTAAGTTCTTTGTCAGTTGTCCATGTAACATTTTTAAAACGAATTAATTTTTCCAGATATCACGTCAATACGTATATTTGAATAATCGGTTTATACAGGATGTTAAATAATCTCGAAGACCATGAGTGTGAGAAAGGCTACCCCGGTGTAGGTGTGGGATTTCTCCCTGGCTTTCTGACGGTGCTCCCGAATTTGACCTTGTTAGACATTCAAGTCAAGGTTTGATATTGATAACGTCGATTTTCTTGAAATGACAATGACTCATCTGAATGCCAAATTTTTCGCTCTAGCCAGGTCCTGTGTCAAAAATATAAGGCTTTACCTTGAAATGACCTTGAGAGTCAAGGTCAAGGTCAAGTTCAACGACACCGTCAGATAGCCAGGAACAAATCTTACACCCATGCCTGGGTAAAACTTTTTTTCATGGTTTTCGAGATTATGTGCCGCATCCATACTTATTTAACTCACATTGGAAGCAATTTACAAAAATTCACAAAGGGTTTGGTCAACACTGCATGCATTCTATAGAAAATATATTATTTAAATTTTATTCATTCATGGACTACGAATTTCATTTACACCTTAAGAATTTCAAATCTTATTTTCCAATTCACTTGTAAAATTTCGTTCTCCATCATCTTTGAAACAATCCTATGCTACACAGTCTTTAATAACAGTATAAAAATATACCAGATACATTTATCCATAGAACTGAATTATCACTTATCTCAATTATAACTTTTCTTTGAGTTTGTAAAAGTCTTATTTACAATACTAAAAATATTAAAAAATCCACACTACTGTACCCAGGTCTTTCAACAGATCAAAACCTGCAAACTTGTCTGAGAATGATTTTTTCAAACATTACATATTTCATCACATCCATTTCCTTTCTCGTTACATAAGGTGTTGTATAGAATCGGTGCGACTTGATCAATAAAAATATTTTCAAGTGTAAATACCTTAAAGCTAAAGGTGATCTTAAAAGTATCAATATCACATCAAGTTTTTTTTAGAGCATTGCCTTTTACCACAAATCTAGGAAATTCAGAAGATAAAGATCACTGACGATTCTCTAGTATAGTACGGTATACAGAGATACTTCAATACCTAAGACTATTCTTAACTTCTTTGGTACATAGGCCAAAATAAAAATATGGCATTAATCGTGTACGATCATTGCTAGGAAGGGAAGAGAGGAGAAGGAAAGAAAAAATCTTCCTGTCCCTAATGTGTGTGCTCGTGCAAGTGTTCCTTTTCTGTCTACTAACTTCTGAACTACTTTTGAAAACCTTTTCTAGATTTATGGTTACAAAGACATTGCGGAAAGTTCATGAGATCAACGATAATCGCTTTAGTGAAGCATGCAGATTTCCTCGTCGATAATTATGTCATCTTTGTCAATGTTCTTATTGCTGTAAAGCGCTGTTTCTGCCTGCGAATAAAAAATATTTGTATAAGCAATCAAAATATGATCAAAGTAAACTTGATATGGAATTATGTTCAATTATTGTCGTATTTTAGTTTTGTGTCACACGATAATGTATCAAGGTACAAGTCGCCTACAGAAAAATGAAGCATCAGAGTAATTTATTTTTGGTACTAGATTTGAGGAGAAAACTAAAATAAAAGGATGACTATAGCAATATTTTCTTAGCACTAACCAAAGAAATCATTGACCGCCATCCCACACTGAGAAGTAGCTTTTGTTCTTCCTTAGGTAAGTAATGATAGCAAAAAATACCTACGTAAATAATAATAATGTCACTTAAAATTGTATCCTGCTAACTTCATCATGTCAGTTTGATAACTGAAGTTTATATTCTAGAATATTTGAGTAAGAAATAGTTAATATTAGGTGTATTGTCAAGTGTCTACCATCCTTGGATTCGGGAAAGTATTGAAAATAGGTTTTAACGTTAGGAGAATAAAAACAACCATAAACATTAACACCTGACTCCCCTCTGATACTGAAATGAACCAGTCTGCAGGTCAAATCTGCTTCCTACTGCATCCATTGGAGTTTGTTAGTTTGCTTCCAGACTACCTGATGTTTCAGAGTACTTATAAAATAGGTAGGAAACGTCATTTCCATTCATTTACGTAATATGTTGGGTGAATGACAATATACAATGAAAATATGTAAATTTTTCAAAATCGAATGTAGCAGTGGCGGATCCACGGTTGGAACTGGGGGAGAGTTTCCCCTCAAATAATCACTGAAAAAAGAAAGAAAAATACGCAGGAATATCACTAATATTATATTTTTTGTACTCCGGCCCGTGCAGTTGCTTTCAGAAGCACTGATGCAGTCGCCACACCTCCGCTCGATTTTCACTCGCCGAATCCCCCGCACTCAGAAGTTTTCCTCCTAAATTTCTCTCTCTCTCCTCCATTAGTGTTGATTACCTTTTTAGGTACGTACATAATATGGACGAAAACATCCAAAAACTCAATAACTTAATCAACAGTTATAATAATTCAATCAGTTGATCCGAATTCCGAATTCGCAATCCAATAACTGTTTAAGTGACTCACGTGTGTTTTTGCAATCCCTCCACAATTTGGCTTATACTTTTTATTGTTGCTGCTCAGAACCTGTAGCTGTTTCTTTGTAACTGTTATCATCGGTTTAGCATTACAAAAATGATCCCTGGGTAGATCTAAAAAGGAAAACATATTTCTTACATAGCATAAAACTGAATGAATATGGTTAGGTTTCTAATTATTAGCTTCATTATTTTCCAAAGCCAGTAGTCGTATACGAAAACTACTGAGACATTATTTTCATGATTTTGCCCGGATAGCCTATGACGACCTTGGGTCTGACGTAGACTATGACCTTCAAGGTCATTTGAATGTCAATTCTTTTTTTTTCAATGGGACCCTGAACTTTTGACCACGGAAGTGGAGAAAAGGGAAAATTTCATGTTCGAATGTCTCTTTGACCAGTTTTGGAACTTGATCCTGGACTTGACCATCACGGTCAAACACAAGTTAGCTCTAGTTTCTTGATAATTCAGAAAACTGTGTAATTCCCAGATAAACTAACTTCATTGTTCTTTCGGGATTTTTCCCTGGCTATAGTCAAATACTCTACTCATCGTACGATACTGCTATTACGCGGAGTACCAAAAGGTACCACGTCAAAGCAGTGGCACGATGACTTCTGCTACTGTCATCAATTCTGGTATTTGACTATACAAAAGTCGACTTTACCTTCACATGACCTTAAAAGGTCATCATAGTTAAGGTCGGATCTCAGACAGCAGCGGTGGCCGCCGCGGAGGTACCGTGTGGCGTTCCCCCTTCCCCCTATAGCCCCACGGTACCCAATGGGTGTTTAGGCCTTAGGCCTTCGTGGTAGTTGGAGTATAAAAAAATCTAAGGTCATCATTGAATATCCGGGAAAAAATTATGAAACGAATGTCTCTATAGTTACGACTACTGGTTTTTAAGTTATATCATCGTACCTGGGTTTGACCTTGATATGGACCTAGGGTCAAAATTTAAGAATCTTCAAAACCGTATTTGGACGTACTATATAATGTTCTACTTTTTTCATTAACGCGGTCAAAGATGGGGGCTCCACTTAAAAAACTTGACTTTCAGATGGCCATATGGTCCAGGTCAAATACAAGGCCACAATTGTATAGCTGAGGTAGACTCCTATCAATCGCGGGACTTTGTTTCTTTGCACTAGTATTAGTACACAAATCATCGTGGGGTTCCGGAACTTTTCAGGTTCCCTGTATGTAGATATCCTACCTATCTACCTGCTTTAATAAGTCCTTCGGATCCACTACCAAAGGTGCAATATTTATAACCCCGTGGCGCATGGCAAGTGCGACCGATAGGTACGCGATTCATTTTGTTTGAAGTATAAATGTGCATAGGATCTCCGGGATTGGAAATGTATTAATATACTAACATCAAAAACAAAATGCGATACACCCTCCCGCTCCCGAAATTTTTATCATAAAAATTTTTCAAAAAGGATTAGGATCCTCTGAAAGGCCAAAAAATGAAGTTGGTGCGACCATTTTTGGCATTTGTCCCCACCGTCACTGGACCAATTTTCAAAAACTACAAATCTTTTTCATCCTTGACATAGTAGTAACAATGTGTAAAAATTTCATCCAAATTCGAGCATCCAATCCAAGTTATAGACGGGCCAAGGATTAGTGAGCAGACAGACCATCATACCGACAGACAGACCACCAGAAATGAGTGACATGTAACCTCAAAAAAAACGTTATGTCCCAGTTTAAATTTTTTTTCGCGATTACAGTTCCCCGCCTGTAGGCGTGGGGCGTCGGAAGTAAGAATACTTACCAATACTATTTTGTTTTCCTCTTTGGTACGTATCCCATTTTGACTTGCTATTTCTGTGTGCAATACCATTAGCATACAATGAACTACATGACATAGTTGTGCAAACTGACTGTCTCCCTACAGCTGATCTACAAAAATAAATTGTCAAACCGAATAACATTACTGTTTTTTTTACTTAAATACAAGCGCGTTAATAATACTTTTATTTACATTTAATTTTGTAGTATTGCGTCACATATAACGATGATGCTTCGAATATTGACTCAAATAAATGTAGGATAAATTTAATGTTCTGACAAGGTTTTTTATCTCTTGTAGACTGACAATAATATTATACAATTAAATCGCAGTGGTAGATTCTAGTGGTACGAGGGATGTTTTTTGAGTTTTGCATATGGGAATAAAACAACACGGTAGGTAGTTTTAAATGACTTTATTGTTTTTCGAAGTATTCTCCACGAAGATTAATAACATCTGCATGCGCTCGAACCAATCTTCGAAGCACTTGTTCCACTCGTTTGCTGGCAGATCCAAAACGGCATTTTTGAATGCGTCAACTGCTTCTTCTGGTGACTGGAACCTTTGAGCACGCAGTCTGTTTTGAATTTTCAGGAAAGTAAAGAAATCGTCAGGACTTCGATCAGGACTATATGGAGGATGGTCCAATAATTCCACGTTTTCTTCTGTTAAATACTACCTTGTTTTTTGGGCTGTGTGCGAGCTTGCATTGTCTTGGTGGATGACGATTCCTCTTTCGGGGTTGATTTTTCGAAGCTCGGTGATGACTTTTGGCAAACAAATGGTGGTATACCAATCCGCAGTAACAGTTCTTTGCTCAATAAGAGGAATTGTTGCAATATGACCCGCTTTTGACACAAATGTCGCAACTATCTTTTTCGAAACACTTCGAGAACGGATGACTTTTGTTGGCTTTTCTTTACCTTGGAACACCCAAACAGCCGACTGTCGTTTATTTTCTGTTTCATAACAGTAAATCCATGATTCATCATCACTAACAATGCTGTACACATTTTTTGAGTTTCCGGAATTGAATCGGTCAAGCGTTTTTTGACACCAATTAACTCTGGCTGATTTCGCGCGGCCTACTATGTTTCTATATGCAAAACTTAAAAGACATCCCTCGTACATAGCGCTTCGCGCTGTCTTATTTCGATAGATCACAAGCTTTGTAAAGTGTATAATTGCTATGCTTTCGTTAACTTTCTGAGAGACCCAAGCCCAGACGATACTGGGGAGTAGCCAAAAAGAACGAAATACCTGTCAATGGTTGGTTGTCTTTGGTTGGACAGACGAAAGCAGAGCATATGTATTATGATACAGTTTGTCAATATTATGAAATAGAAATACACAAACCTTAAGTATCGTTCTCTGCACGGAAAGCAAAATCGAAATATCCTATGCATTGCCAAATATGATAGTCCGGAGTAGAGATAAGGCTTTGCTTCCGTTTTCACTTCTCCGTTCAAGAAACAATATAGGATTGCCACGAAAAATCCCTGAAAAACGTTCAATGATAAATTATTTTATCTTATTATTAATTAAGAAAATCAAAAATAAAGTTTTTATCTGTTATACAATTTTTATGTTAAGAGTTGTTACCTGAAAGCTTCCAAACAAGGTATCACAAACAAGCCACACTTCTTCCAACCCAGCAAAGTAGAAAATTAGTAGAATTCCATACAAAACACCAAACAATGGTACTAGTACTAACGTTGATTTTGCCCACTTTTGGTACCTCTTAGTATCTTCATTGATTGGTGACCGTAGCTTTGAGTAAAGTACAATCGATATTATTACAAACAGTACCAAGTTAATCTGGAAAACATTACGTAATTGAGAAAACTGCACTGCACTGTCAAGTTTATTTATTCACCCGGCTCTTTGAAACATGCCTTGATTTGAGCGTATGATCTTACTTACCAGAACGGATATAACAGTAGGTATAGTTATTATCATAAATGCTACTAAGTTGTCATTTGTTGTCCAACACATAGTATCGTCTAAAATAACTCTAGCTACTATCCATGGTATTACAACTATTAGTGGTAGGCCTAGAACGAAAATGCAATATGTGATCTCGGATTTGATCAATAGTTGTTTTGTTCAATTGGTCCAATAAAATAATGTTAAACTTTAAAGTACTGAACACTGCTTCTATTTAAGAGAACTTAGTCTTACTTACCCCATCCTAAACAAATGTAATGGACCAAGTTCTTACTGGAGTCACTGAGTAGTGCTCTAAATATCAAGTTATTCAGATATACCCCTTCAATCAGAATCCAAGCATAGTTGGCTGTCGTAAAGTACTGGACTAAACTTGTCAACAATTTACATTCGTAGTTGTTGGTCTGAAACAAAGAAGTTGTATACAGTTTGATTCAAATATTAAAAGTACAAAATAATCGTACACTATGATAGATGCTATGAAAATTACGATGTATATCCTACCACAGTGTCTATGTTGAAGTACAGTTCTCCATTTTTCTCACTTAAGTCGTACCAGAGGCCTATCCCATCCACGAAAAGTACGTCTTTCAGTATATAAAAAAATGCTCGCAGTATGAACGAAGCGAAGAGGTTCATGTGTAGTATATTTCTAGCACAATGCAGTTTCCTGTAATTTCGTTACTTATTTTAGAGACACAAGTATAACAACAGTATGAGTGAGCATCTTATCTTAATGTTTACTACCTAGGATATTGTACAAGTACTTACTGCATAAAACATTACATAACAGCAGTAACTACCTAATTTTTGAAATACCATCTTTAAAATATGCCACTACTTGCAAAGATAAAAAGAAAAGAGTGAAAGTGTTTCACATCCTCATCGCAAAAATAATTAAGGTAAAATCAGAAAAAACATTGGAGTTTTGAAGATTATCAAATTATGTGTTGTGCTTATTTTTTATCAAATCACTAAAACATACTCACTTAATTAACAACATTATTAAAAATGCTATTATTAGAGATAGTAGAGAAACTGCATATCCTGTTTGCGATATGACCTTAATTACTGGTAATATCACCTAAAAAAGATAAAATATGTTTAGATTACAGCATGAAATAAAATCTGAGAATGCTTTGACTCAACCAAATACGAGTAGTCATCATGATATTCTATAACTAGTCGGAAAAAGCAAAAAGCTGAAAACAGGATATTTCAACTGGACAGCTAGGGTAATTTCATAACGGGACCGTTAGTAATGCGTGATGCGAGATCTTTTCTTTTGGAAGTAGGTACGTAAGAGCAAGAAGTGCTTCCAAGTTTTACACTACTATTCGTCATTATTCGTCAGAGCGGTCCGGTGGTCCTTTGCTCTTAGTTAAAAGTCTCGTTCGTCTGTTAGTCTGTCACGTCTGGCTACCCAGATACCAAACATCTTTAAGGGGGGTCTTTTGCTGATCTGATCGTATTTTCCTAAGCATGAGAAAGGTTTAAAATGTTTCCATAAAAAACGTCAAAACTGAAATTTCTTGCACCTAGATGACTTATGCCTCCAAGTTCTACAATGGAGACCTTATTATAATTATACAGATATACCTACCTACTGCTTTTTATTTTTAATTTCAATAAAGAAAGGAATCATATCTACAGCAGAATTAGGATGACAATTTCTTACCTCTGATTTAGGAGATATGTCAGTTTTATGTGCAGGGACGAAAATCGTGGTAATAACACCTTCACTGCATGAGGTATAGTCTGCCCATGGGATATTTGTTTTTTCGCTTACGAACCAAGTACTGTTTTCTGTACAATATCTTGTTGCGTTGTACGTCTAGAATAAAATGTGAAAATATACTCGTAGATTCGTTTTGAAAAAAATCGATAATACGCCACCGCGTAATGTTGATGTTGATCTTCGTTTCGATTCTTTTTATTATTTTCTTATTGTACGTAATGAAAGTCTCTCTCTCTTGAGAAAATTTCAAACATAGATTTTTAATTATTTGGTTGTTTGGGGGCACAGAATTTACTGGAAGCTGCTAGAGTATCTAACAGATACTAGAGCTATTCAGAATGAGTTACATGAATCTATTCACGAAGTTTGGTTAAAACTGGACGTGTATGAAGTTTGGCGATATTTAGGAAATAATTATTCTCTGGATACCTTGAAACATTTTTGAAAAAGATTGACATTTTTGCCTGCATATGTCGTATTCTCAACTTCAACTTTTGCCGGTACTCACTCGTCTCTCGATGTTAAAATATAAAGGTAGAATAAGAATTTCCAGACGCCGCGCCGGCTATTAACCAAAATATTAAAGTACGGTCCTGCCTATGTGAACTTGGTATATGTGGTTGCCTAGCACCAAGCAAATCAATATCTCTCTCCATAGCACGACGTTGCCAAGCTTCACGCAACTCTATGCACTACGGAAACTAAAATAATTTATTTCATTTTTCAAGGTTTGCTATCAGGATCCATTCATTTGTTACCATACAAATTATGTGTTAAACCTGCTACACACAGTGCCGGCGGCAATGCCGCCGGCAATACAAGCCGTCAAGCATCATTCCGGTTGTGACAGTCACATAGAAAGCTAGTGAAGTGCTGCATTTCTGGGATTCCATAATATATCATTTTCATAAAATTTTTCAATTAAGAGCAGCACAGCTTCGTCGTCCCAATTAAACGACATTTTAATTTGTTTAAACACACAAACCGCACAACACTACCGCTCGAATGCCAGGAACGAAGTGACTCCGCAAGCCGAGTAACCCGCCGGCACACCACGGCGGCTCCTTTGCGCGGCTTAGCCGGCGGCTTGCCGCCGGCACTGTGTGTAGCAGCCTTTACTATGTGATTGTTATTGTGGAATTTAAAATCTGAAGTTTTCCGAAATTCACAGGCCCTGGCAAGTACCCCGCCATCGTTAGGCAAGACACATCCTTTTTTTGGTTGGCAAACAAACCGACAGATACATAATTTTAAAATAGAAGATACTCCAGGCAATGCAATACTTTCTTTATAATATTATGTTGATTATTATATCTAGAGTATAACTCAGAAGGGAAGTAAACTGAATTCAATTTGGGCGTTTCAGACAGAAGGGTAAATTACTCACTATTCATTGGTTTTAATTTTGGCGCTTCGTTTTTTGAGTGTTCAGATTGGTTCAAGTGCTTATTGTTTCTTGAGATTAAATTTATTAAATCTAAATTTGGCAACGTTGGGTGTTCCATCTTGCTTGTTTTTTTTTGGGGTTATGTTAGAGAGCAGCACGTTGTTTTTGCCGTTTGTTTTAAATTTTAATATCGGATTCGTGTCTCTAATTGTTGTAAGGAATTATGTGTTTAGGATATTTTTGTTAGTTCCAGTTTTTAAGACGCATTTATTGTGATAATTCACAATGCCGAAGTCAAAGAGAGACAAGAAAAGTATGCCTCAGCACCATGCTAGTGTTTATCAGGGTAATAATTAAATTTTCATTTTAGTTTCTCTGACCAAAACTGACAAGAAAGGCCAAGCTTTAAAACAGAAGATAATCGAGGATATAAGGAGTTGTGTAGAAAAATATAAAAGTGTGTATGTATTTTCATGTAACAACATGAGAAACGAATTAATGCAAGGTGTAAGAGAAGAATGGAAACCTGGCAGTAGGTTTTTCTTCGGAAAGAATAGGGTGATAGCTGTAGGTTTAGGTAGAAGTGAGGAGGAAGAAATTGAGACTGACTTGCACAAGGTAGGTGGAATATATAAGTATAATTTAAAAATTTTTAAACCACCAATGCTCTAACATTCTCATATCACCGCTAAGAAAATTCTTTCCTGAGGTACCTCAGGGTGCAGTGTCATGAGGAGCCCAAAATTCTCAATTAATGTGGGAGGAGGGTATATATTTTAGGCAGCCCTGTTTGGGGATCAAAAATCCGCCATCTAGAGTCTATGTTTTATTTGTCAAATTGCATTAACTCTAAACAAATATTCCTCATACATACATACATACATATGTCGTCTGACACAACTTTTAGTTTTACTTCACTGCCTTGTATTGTGCCATTTTGCTTAGGGAACTTGAGCTGCACAAATGGCACAGATCATTTTGTTTACTTATTGTATGGCATTGTGACGTAACTGCCAGAAACCTTGAAGAGACCTATAGAGCAGTGAATAATAGCATTTTTTCAATCATTTTGGCATCTAATTTTGATATTTTTCTAGATATCTAAAGTCCTCAAGGGACAGTGTGGGCTATTATTCACAAACTGTAAGAAGAAAGAAGTAGCAGAATGGTTTGAAAATTATGCAGTTGAGGACTATGCCAGATCTGGGTGTGTAGCTACAAAGACAATAGAATTGAAGGAGGGGCCACTGAAACAGTTTGCTCATTCAAGGGAACCTTATCTGAGGAAATTAGGAATGCCTACAAAATTGGACAAAGGTGAGACATGAAATTAAAGGTAGATCTACCAGAATATAGAAGTATTTTTTATTATAAGCTGGAATTTTTACACTTCAACATTGGCAGTGCTTCTAACATTTTTAAAATTTTCAATTTTCTCTGCAAGGCAAGTATATTTGATAGAAAACTGTGATGTATTTATTAATTCCACACATAATTTTAAAGTGAGAGCCTCATTTCTGTGTTACCAGCACATATGCAGTGTTGGTGGTTTGTTCCTCCTGTACTAACAATATATTAACTTGTCATATTATCTTTATTTATGGTTGTTCACATTCAACAGTTCCTCCTTTTACACTCATTTTTTATGTTTTGACACCTTTATGAGGAAGAACATCCCTTAAAAAGTATCTCTGCAGGTTTATTGAATGTGCACACATTTTGAAGTACTTGTATCCCTTTAGGTGTTGTTACATTGATCAAAGATTACACAGTATGCAAAGAAAGAGACATACTGACTCCAGAACAAGCTACAATATTGCAGTATTTGGATCATAGGCTAGCAACATTCAGGTTTATTCTGAAAGCTAAATGGACAAAAGGCAAAGGATTTGAAAAATTGATAGATGATGAAGAGGAGCAGAATAATGAGGATGAACAGAAGATGGAGGATGATATAGAATGAGATTTTATGTCTTTATATGTATGAATATGTTTAAAGTTAATATTAAAATATTTTTGTGTTAACAAAACAGGTTCCATTTATTTCCTGAACCCATATTAGCATACATGAAAGCAGACCATGTCTATAAAAACTACATTGACTTACAATTTGACAATCCTCGAAATATCAAATGTCAAACATTTCTCATTATGACGATTGTATGTATCTGGTAATTTGTATCTTTTATTATAGACACCTTATGAAAATGACAGTTATTTTATTTGCTTTGCCATGCTGTTTATAATTCCTGCAAAAGTGTCTGATTGCACATGTAATTGGATAATTCAATTCAAAGATTGTCAGTCCCGCCTATTAAAAGTTTTCAACCTGCAAACGTTTAGGTAAACTTTGCATATACAATATGCATTCTCAAACATTTTTTGAACACAAATATCTTGCTTTGAAAAATTATATTCTCAATGTTCTCACTCTGTTCTGTGAACGACGTCATAAATTCTAGGCTCAACGCAATAAGGTTTCCGTGTCCTGTCTGTAGAATGTGTTCATATTTCTGTCAAGTTCTTTTGGCTTCTGCCAGACGTGAGGAAAATGGCTTCTATTAATCTGACCATTGCCATCAAATGTATGGTATGCTATCGGTAGCAGGAATAAAAATGTGATCCTATTGGCTGATTTCTTCGGCGACAAACAAGGGCGTGCCCACGTTCAAAAAGTTTAACAAATGATATCTACATAACTGCTTAATATTATTCTTTCTATTTGCATTTATGTGGAGTCTTCCACGATGATTTAACAATTTATATGGGATAAAAAACTACTGAGATTACTTTTTTGAAACATTCAAGCAAGCTCTGTTTCAAAAGAAATTGTACAGTAGGATTTATTTATTCTTTAGAGTGAATGCAAAGGCCTGTCAAAATAAATCTGGGTAACTTATTTTTATCAAACTTCAAAGTTACGTCTAGCAGAATTGGGAAAGGGATTGAAACATCTTCAAAATGGGTATGTCCAGTTAATTGGTCAATGCAAAAAAGTTGAAGCCTTTGTAATGATTACGACCGAAAAAAAATTCAAAAATGGTCAAGCTATTCTGCGATGTAAGTACTGCAACAAATTAGAAATACAGGGTGAGTTTTTAGTATCTTCATTACTATAAAACATAATCAAAATTGTATATATGTAGCAGGATATGTACCTAGTTCATTCTAGAATGACTTGGAAAACAAATTTGTCGAATTTTCACCATTGTGATCTCCGAAACTGTAAGAGATACGAGCCGGTTGAATGGTGGCAAAGCTGTGTATTTGTATATTTTAGAAAATGCATTCGAAAAGTTTTGACGCTTCCAGTATCTCGATACATACACGGAAAAGAGGTCAAATCTTCCCAAAATAGTTTCTAATTTTTTTTTTAATTAATTTGAGATATGATTTCAAAATAAACTACAAATTGACATTGCCACTTTTCGATCTCTACAAGGTGGCATAAATAGAACATTAATATGATTTTTCGCCTCTTATCCCCCGTATCAACACTGATTTTTTATGTTTGCCGTTTTTGCATAGGCGAATTGATTTTAATTCTGATTTTAAACATTATACCTTGTCATAGATTATGAAAAAATGTTCTTGAGTGAAATTATCATATAGTCTTTTATTTCTTAGAATATCATGTTACGGATTGATATAAAACTTCAAGTGTCTAACTCCATACAGTTGGTTTAAACTCATCGAATGGGAAACAATATAATGTAACTCATTTATCATACAGATATCGAAAACGGTATGATTTTAAAAAAACTGAGAGCTGAACCGCTAGATATAAATTCTAATTATGAAACCGCGTATAAGAGAAAAAATAGCAATATTATTGTGATTTTTTTTATATTTGTAGACAATGTGGATGCTTGAAAAGTTTTCGGACTGAAGCCAAAAAATAAAAACGACAGATTAAATTCGGAAATCCTTTGAATTTCCAAACCGTCCAAGTTCCATTTTGTTATTTACCTACCCAACTTGTCCCCATAAAGTACTCCGCGTCGTATATTTATTACATTTAGTGACCGGGTAGCCTGGACGTTAGTAATTACCGATTGAAGCATACAGTTACTCAGATATCCACCGATTGTGCGGACCACAGTAAATAGTGATCGTGTAACATTCGCTTTAGCGTTTCCGAGATCCGAAATGCGAGGTTCGAATACCATATACAGTGCTTTTAGCAAAATTATATACAGGGTCCGTCAGAAAGAACGCATGTTTTTTAAATGAGTAGTACAGTCAAAGTTAGTATGGGAAAAATATTTCATTACATCAACTTCTCAGAAATACATGCCATTTTTTTGAGTAAAACGAAATTCACGTTCTAAAAACTATGTCGGCCATATGGCGCTCTTGAGCCGAAATGCAGGAATCAAGCCTGTCCAGAAATGAGCCCATTGCATCGGTCAGCATCCGTGCAGGAATTTGAGTTACTTCTCTTCGTATTCCTTATGCAAATCGTCGAGGGTCCGGGCTTGCTTTGGTAAACTTTTGATTTCAGGTAGCAACATAAAAAATCACACGTTAATAGGTCCGAGGAGCGAGGGGGCCATGGAATATCGCCATGACGTGAAATGTGACATCCTGTTAATTTTTTTCGAAGAAGTTCCATCGAAGTGCGAGCTGTGGGAGATGTTGCCCCGTCTTGTTGGAACCACACTGTTCTGAGAGGGATATAACGCATGTGGATATAACGCTCGGAATTCACAGTAGTTGTTTCTCCATCACCCTCAAAAATAATAAGGGCCAAATATCACTGGATATCAATATCGACAATATTGTTTGTTGACGTATCATGGATAAATGAGCTTTATCACTCATAAACAACGTCTTGTCATTGTTATCCGACTGTTCAATCTTGATCTGTGCAAAATTAACACGTTGCGTATAATCCCCTGGCAACAGTTGTTGACAAACTTGGATTCTTCAAGATGCCACGTACAGAGGACGCGTGGATCCCTAGGGAACTGGCTTGCAAACGGACGGAACGATTCGGGCTTTGCAGCGTGTCAACTCTCACTCTGTCTACGTTTTCGGGGGTTCTAACAGTACGGTTTCGCCCTGGCGGTTGTTTCTTCATCGCATTACCTGTTGTGTTGAATGCGTCCACCCATCTCAAAATGGTGTTACGGTCTGGTACTGTCCCACGGCGTGGAACACGACGTACAGGGAACACACGATGCTCAACGTTCCAAACAATCTTGCCAACTGAAACGGCACTTCTCCCACTATCCGACACGTCCTTCCCCACCGACACGGGACCAGCTCACTCGATGTAGTACCCGTTCGAAAAACATGCGTTCTTTCTGACGGACAATGTATTTATATCTAACAGATTCCAACTAACCCTAGTAATTTATCATCTAATAGATATCGATACAGCTTGTGAAGAACACTGAACAATAATTCAATTTTGTAAAAATCTATTTCAGCTATTGATACTGCGATATTGTTTAGATGAAAAATTCCTACGTTTTCTCGTAATTTTCTCAAAAGCTTGACAACGTGGAAATTTTGATTTCGTGGGTTATCAACCTCAGACGTATCTGGGCAATAAACCTATTAGTCAAGATAGCTTAGACGAATCATATTATGAGCGCATGCGGAATTTGAATTTAGTTTTAGGTACGCGCTTCTAATTTAACAATGCTGTAAGAAATATTTTGATCACGTTTCGAGGATAAATGAAATTTGTGCCTTTGGAAGGTAGCGGTAATTCTTTCGTATTCCTGACCCTTTGTAAGCGCGTGGTTACGAGCGGGCTAGTATAATTAGAATTCCTGAATGCGAATTCGCAAAAGGCAGATCGATCGCTGAATGCTCAAAACCCCACACATCATTTTGTCTGCGTTACAATGAAATAAATTAAGAGAACTACTGAACTGAATCAATGCTCTTATGACTTAGAACTATTTCATGTTAGTTGGTGTTTTCATATCGAATGTTCCATGCAATAACCACCAGCATGAGTTAAGCACTCAGCATTTTTAGGCAAATGTCGCACGATCAGTATTTTCTGTGATCCATCGGTATTTACTATGGAACGTGATATTTATTGAAGTGCAGCCAAGACGTCACTTATTATTTATGCATAATAAGGTTACCTAGAAATCCAGCAACACCGACGGAATGATTAGTAAATGCTGTTGGACGGACCAAAGTGAATACTGCTCGTGTGACATTCGATCATCCGCATATTAATACTTACCGTTTTGAATCCCGCGATGTAGGAAGGACAAGGCAGAACTGCGATGTCCCCGGGCGGTGTGGGTGGCCAACAAAGTATAGTATCCCAGAAAGGAGGGCACATAAACGCTGGAAAGAAGAGAGAACGCATCATTCCCATCCATAAAGCTCAGCGATGGTGGCTGTTCGTAAATCCGGAACGTAAACTTTTATATTGGCACTTAAGGTGCGATATATAACTGCATTTAGTCCTGGTTTAATGGACTATGTATTTTTAAAAGGATCGTAAGATTTATAGTCACTTTATTACTCTACACTAGAATTCTTATGCGTCTTAAATAAAGTTCGAAAAATACTTTCGTTTCACAAATTTTGACGGCGATACTCCAATTCATCGATGTAAATTACAAAAATGTAGCAAACTTCAATTGCTTGTAACAACGTGAGACGAAACTGGAAATATTTTACATAACAAAATCATATATCTAATATAATCTACTGATTTCGTCTGTCCGACCAACAGAAGGCCACCCGTGTAGAGCTGTTTTATGCTTGATTTCTAAGTAGGCACACGAACGAGTACCGTCTATCGGAAGTATAAGGTGGATCCAAATACGATCGCATCTGTTGGAACTGTAGAAGTGTCTCAGTTCGCATATGGTCGGAAAGGTAATTAACTGCAGTACATTTAGAAGTAAAGATAAGTTGATGCTCAAGCGTATTTGATCAATTCGTAAACAAATTATATCACTAACTGTGTGCACGTTCTTTACGTGTCAACATGGTAGCTGTTAATAACAAAGTTGCGTTTCTCAATGAAAATATTAGTAATTCGTTACATAATTCGGAAGAAAGTGAGGTTAAAGGACTTTACGACATGAAAAATATCCCAGTACTATGGGGCTTTTGGCTTTATACACATCCTATTTTAAGATGTGGTCAATAGTGGATGACCAAATCGTAAAAAGTTGACGATTTTCCAATATTGTCTATCGTGATCAACCAAATTGTTAAATAGCTTTAATGAAGACCACGACACGCTTCAAAAATTGGTATATTTCAGTTTTTCTTATAACGCTGTTCTACTTCTTGAAAGCTACTTAAAAATTCGCACTCAGAGTACATCTTTAGACGATAAGTACTCTTTCTCTTTGAGTATACTTTTCGGTGTTCCACAAAGTTCGGTCTTGGGTCTACTCCTTTTCAGCTTATACATAAGTGACTTTCATGAATTTTTTATTTTTTCTCAGTAACATTATAACGTTCTACAGATTGAATTGAATAACGATTTAAAAATCTTTGTATAACATATCTATAGCTCATATTTTACAGCTGAATCCGAAGAGTCATGACTTTTGGTAATAAACATGAAATACTTGATCTGCAAGGCACATTTTCTGTTATTATAAATGATGCAGCTTTGCCAAAAACCAGTGAAAACAAAAATCTTGGCACATATCTGGCCTCTGATCTAGCGTATACAGGGTGGGCCAAAAGTTCCTGACTGATTTTAAGAATTCATAAGTTTTTCCCAAGTTAACATATTTGATCTTTTTTTCAGATTTACAAAGTAGAGCTCTGGATATTTTAGAATGGAGGGACTTAATCTAATTCATAGAACCAAACTCGTACAATTTTACTATGGACATAATCATTCGATTGTAAACACCAAGAGAGCTTATCGAAGATTTTTTAATGTTTGAAACGCCCCATCCACTGGGGCTATCCGCAGCATTATTCGGCGTTTTGAAACTCAGGGTTCGGTATCGGACCTTTCCCGAACTGGACGACCACGTTTAGCTTTCACTGGAGAAAACATAGAGAGAGTAGAGGAAAGTGTTCAGGAGGACCCCGAAACATCGACCAGAAGAAGGTCAACTCAATTTCCTTACAAAATTCAAATGGTTGAGCACTTACGACCACAAGATTATGCACAACGACTAAATTATGCCATTCGTTTTCAGCAATTGGTTAGAGATAAAGAAATGTTTTTAAATCGTCTAATAATGACTGAGGAGGCGCATTTTCATCTGAATGATTTTGTGAATACGCAAAATGCAAGAATTTGGGGAAGGCAAAATCCAAGGGCTGTACATGAGAGAGAATTACACCCCATTAAATGAACGGTTTGGTGTGGTGTTACCACCCAGGGTATTATTGGGCCTTATTTCTTTCAAAATGACGATGGAACTGCGGTGACTGTTACTGGCGAGAGGTATAGTGCTATGCTTGAACATTTTTTGATTCCAGCGCTTGAAAATAGACCTGATATGTGGTTCCAACAGGATCATACAGCTAGAGCCACAATGGCATTGCTAAGAGGCTTCTTTGGAGAAACTTCTGATTTCAAAAAGATCGGCAATTGAATATCCCCCACGTTCCCCTGATTTAACCGCGCCAGATTCTTATCTATGGTGATATTTGAAAGAAAGAGTTTTCCGCAATAAACCTCGAACCTTAAGACAACTTATGGACAATATCATAATGGAAATTCGAGCCATAAATCGGGAAACATTGGAGGCAGTTATGGACAATGTCTTGGAAAGGAATGTTGTGTGTGAAAGAGAAAATGGCCGTCACTTACGCGACATTATTTTTCATACTTAATACGAAAAAACTCCAATAAATATATTTTATTTTTGTAAAAACTACATTAAAAAATATTAATAAATAAAAAAGTTTTTAAAGTTTAAAATAGGTCAGCTTCTTTTGGCCCACCCTGTACAAAACATCAAGCCTCCTATAATATGTTAAGCCAACTTTATCCCAGGAGAAGTATGTAATCAAAATCCATCGAGGTGTGAAGTTTTGGTTTTGACTAAACCGGCATACTGTGACTGCATATATGGGCGTACCCTTTTGCAAACAGATATTTTACGCATTCAGTGAATTAGAATTCTTGCATCAGCTTTGCATATGACATCCGAAAGTATGACTTCATCAGTGGGAGCTTCATGGATTTTGGTTGGCTTACCATAATTAACATAAGAAAACCTTTTTTCCTCACTTCAGTACACAAGATCGTTACTAGTAGAATAGCTACTAATTATACAATAAACTTACCAGACAGCCTGTTAATAAAGTAACTCGTAATAAATATCTTTTGTTTAACCAAAACATTCAACGCCTCTGTTTGAGCGCGGTTATTCATACAACGCTGCGAAATTGTATAACAGTTTGGCAGTAGATCTAAAATATCTGTGCCTGTACAATTTTAAAAAAGATTGATCTCCTGCACGAACAAGGGCCTAAGATATAACCAAAGATCACTACGTTTTGAAGGATAATTCCTCAGTATGTTTTTTAACTCATCTTGTTTTTATATATATTCTGTGTGAGTCTTATTTTTCATAGGTTTAGTTGAAAAGCAGCTTACGCTGAACTATGCCTTTCATCATTTTGTTATTGCATTATTTTTTTTTACTCAAGTTACCTGGAATGATGAATAAATACCATTTATCATTATTTAACGATCATTTCATGAAATCGGCAATTCTACTATGTACGAGTATATGGCTACGACATATACAGTGAGAGTTCTTTACAAGCGGGCTTAATTATTCATGAGGACAGCCGAATCGGTTGCTATCAACAAATTCGGAGAACGATAATCTGGTTAATCAAAATTTCCCTATGATAGTCTGAGAAGTGTGAAAGGTAAAGCTTTTTTACACCGAAGTAGCTGCGTAGTGAGAAGCCTAAATATCAGGTCACCGCGGCTGCTATGAAGGGCTTAAAGGAATTTTGTTAGTCCGATTTTACAACTGTCTAAGACTAGTGGAACTGGGAAGGTCTCTTTAGGTACAATCTCGGTACCATAGGGACAAAGGAACGGTCGTATCGGCCAGTTTTGGATGTATTAAATTGGAAACGTTTAGAATCGGAGGTCGAAATCAAGCGCAAAGGGTTCGCAATAATCGGTCGACTACCAAATATTAAAACAAGTGGTCAAACAGGTGAATACTTCATAGTAATACACAAAAATTCCACACTTTTAAGTAGGTAGAAAATTTTTCACCTCTCTGCACCATGATCATCATGAGACTATAAATAATACCAAACTCACGAGGTTTAAATGTAGACATTATAAATTATAACTAGATGGAAAGTATACATAATCTAACCTTTTTAAATGGCGCCAGTTTACAACATTCCTCACTTTGTTAGTGGTTTATGTGGCTAAAATAATATTCATTAAAACTGCTCTTGAATGCAAAATAAATTAACTCCTGGAGCGTATGAAGCGGGTTTTTGAATTATACTGGCCTGGTACCGGTTTTCGCTCTACAAAAGCAGGACGTAATTCAGGCATTAGTTGGTGAATTGGTTCAAATTCATCAAACTAATATACCCTTAATGCCGTTTAATTTGTCACGGAGATTAGTTGTTTCATATATATCATTTAGTTTGGTCGATAGTTTGTTTTTTTAGGATTTTATAAAACTTGACTTGGGCATGTATGTTTGGACTAGCTACAAGTAAAATTAAACATTTCAAGCAGCATTTGCTTCTTCTTCACGTGCCACATCCTCTATGAAGGTTGGCTACAATCGAGCCTTTCCCTGAGATTTCTTAACCAGGACATTCTTCTTGTATCAATATTTCGCGTACTTCTAAAGTACCTCAACATGATCGTTTGTATTGTTCTCCGCGGGTAATACATTTTCTTGTTTTGAAGATAAAGTCTTCCGGGTACTACTGAGTTAGGAGAGTACAGTAAGTCCAAAGGGCTCTAATTTTTTCAATTCCTTGATATAGAAGCACCGAGAATACAAGGCTTTTGATCCTTGATATTAAATCCAAACTAAGCCGTCTCCTACACAGCATATGCCTCATGTTGTTGTTTGCACTCCGGGCATTCTCTGTTCTAATCTTAATTCACCTTATGGCATAATTTGGTTGCACATACACGTTGACATTGTTATCGCGTGGTTTCGTTATTATCATGAATTTTGTTTACTTTATCTTCTGTGACAATCCTACCTGTTCACTTACATGACACTCTCGATAAAATTCTCTGAAGATCGTCGATATTTTCTTCAAGAAGTACGGTATCGCCATCGTATCTATCAGTGCACAAAAGGAGCTCGTTTATTTTTATACCAGCTGTTCCACCTTGAAGCGCTCTC